CCTTTGATCCCAAGATCGTCCTGCTAATAGTCTATTCAATAATGCCAACTGCTGTAACCATGGCATCAGAAATAGAGGAATGAATGTTAACTTGAACATCTGGAATTCTTCAGATTGAATATATAATGCAGAAATAGAAACCTAGAAATCTACTACGCAGAAAGAAGCCATTCAGCCCACTGAGTATGCATCATCTCACAGCACAAGTATATCGCTTGAATCCATTTGTCTACCATATCTCTATGCCCCTTCTATCCCCTCAAATGCCTGTCCACCTCCCTCTTGAAAGCCACAATAGAATCTGCCTCCACCACCCTACTTGGCAAAACATTCCACATTGAAACTATTCTTTGGATGAGATTTTACTGGAACTCTGAAAGATTTACTTAGAAAGGAAATCCAAAGCACAACTGCCTCATATGGTTCTGCTCATTTTCATTACATCCTTAAGATTATGTTTCATGAGCAAAGCTCAGACATTTAGGATTTATTTTAGGTGTACATTTTTTAAGTGTTTACTTCAGGATTACTATTTCTCATTAAGAATTGGAAGAGAAGTTGAGTAAGGTTTTAAACAAGAAGCTTCAGGAAATCAGAGTAGTCTAGGACAGCGTCTGAACGAGGCTTCTGTAGTTCCAATCTAAGCCTAAGGTTCATTTAACAGACTAGACCATAAAATCCCGAATTTTCACTGAGGTTCCTTTGCAGTTTTCAAAATTGCAGATAGCTTAATACAGAACCTTACTGTTCAATACCAGACAGAATTCGAGGGCTGTGTGGAAGCAGTGAGAGCTTCTCCTGAGTTTACAATAGCCTCTAAACAATTAAGATGTTGTAAATTGCTGCTTCTGTCTTACTGGGGAGATGTTGAAAGGCTTTTATAAATTTAGTGAAGTAATAAGCTGTACATATCCCATTCAGCTGTGTTGTGAGAGGAATCTAATTCTGTAGCACAAGCTACATGATGCCTTCACTGTTTAGGTCATACATCGAAATTATTACTGAGTCATACCAGAACCCTTGCATCTGCTGCATGACGAATAAAATCTCAAACTGTGGCCTTTGTTTTATATTTAAGAATTGGGGAGGGGGGGGGAAGAGGGCAGAATCCAGTCAGGGTTTTTAATTTCCTGGTATGATATGGTTTACAATTTGTCACATCAGTTGAATGAGACCATTTGATGAGTGAGTTTCCCTTGTCAAGTTCAGTAGGTCCTACTCAAACTTTCAATCAAAGTAAACTTAAGCCGTATACATTACGGTGGATATGATACAATGTACCATTCGACTAGAATTGTGCTGACAAGCTATTTGCTAAAGTTATATGTGGTTCATATCGTAACCATTTTGGAAAGAAAGCGTTTGCTTTACGCTAACTGTGTTGGTGTAACACAGTACTGTGAGCTGATGTGAACCTCAACTGGTGCGACACTGTCTCCTCAGAATAACTTCCCACTACTTGCCCTGGATTAGCCATCGGCTTTTCGACACCGAAGTTATACTGTACTCAGTCTGCGTTGTTTAAAATTCCATATTTAATTGATGCAAATGGTGTGATATAGCTGGTGGATCAGCCATCTTAAATAAACTTAAATAACATAGTGAACCAGTGTGATAGATTGGTAACAAATAGAAATGCATCTGCATAGTTGAGTCTTTAATTCTGTCTGCTCAGGTCACAGCTTCAACCGTGTAAAATTCACGTCACTTTGCCATTTTTTTAAATTCACTTCCTCAAAGGGGCTTTATACTCTGCCACATTTTCTGACTTTGTTATGTTCCTCCTGGGGGGAATTAAACTTATCTGTTATCTCACTCATCTGTTAACAATGCTAACTGACATTGCTTTGCTGTTTGACTAATGCCAGAACATCTCACAGGATCTGCTTTTGTATCAGCCAATGAGTCTTATTTTTCCATAGCTGGGAATTAACTGAGACATTGCGATTTTTTTTAAAGAAAAAACAAAATACTACATAGAACCTCACAGATACTTTGGCACATATGTGCATGCGACTACCTTGAAGGTGGAAGGCGAACTATATGGACCTTGGTCTTTTTTTTCGTCTAGCATTTCTTATGTTCTTGTGCAAAATATTAAATTTTGGCTTAATTAATACTTGGAATATTTTTTAAACATAAACAAATTTTTGTAGAAAAAATAACTGTGCTACCCTCCTTCCCCTCTTCGCCCCCCACTCCACACTGAGCAAAACGATATGTGCTTTTAAATGCTTTTATTATATACTGTGGACTTTCTTCAAAATTCAAAATTTCACTGTTACGATAGAACTTACGAACTGAACTCCCAATTTCTATTGTAAATCCAGTAAGTGATTGCCGAACTCAAATGACAACTTTGCTCTGGATATAAAATGGATTTTGTATGACGCGTTTGGATTCTTAAGCTCTTGAAACGGACAGACGAGATCAATCTAAAACTCGGATGAAAAAATAAAAATTGAGCCCCACAGGAAATATGCGAAATTCTAGAAGTCTTGGAAGCTCTTAAGCTTTAATCAAAATTAATTCCAGCTCACTGTTCAAAAATCTTTGTGAGGTTCAAGGATCAGGCAAAAATATCTAGAGAGAGGTGTGCGCACACACTCTTATTTCACAGTTTGTCAGGGCAACAGTCAAAGTTAAATTACAATTGGCACAAGATTATAGAGCTGGACCCAGTGTTTATCCTGTTCTAGCCTAATCATTCCTAGCTTCAAGCATGTGAAACAGACCTCTTTTCTTTTACTGGCAATGATTGTTGTTGAACATTGCTCAAGCGAAATCTGCATATTCTGAAATTTACCTTCACAAGTTCAGCAATTCCTATTTAAACGTTTTAGACAAAGTAAACTTAAGCCACTTACAATACGATGGAAGGTGCGGAGACTGCACAGTGTACAGTTCAACTAGAATTGTGCTGACAAGCAATCGATTGCAAAAATGTCTGAAACCATTGAGAGCAAATTCCAGTTCTCCACTGCATTTCTCAGTTGGAGGTTAAACAGGCTTATGAAACTTCATTTTAACTGCGCTGCAGGGAAACCAATCTCCAAACAGCTCCGCTCTGTCTGCTCTTTAGCTGAACTCTAACCCAGTAATTTACATCTACTACAAAGCAGTGGATCAAGCTCAGGCTGTTAAAGTTTATGTTGAACAAGCTAGATCTCAGCAGATGGCTACAACCGTAAACATGTCAACCAAGTAAATGGCAAAAAATTGAGCGAGTTGAGTGCCACAGCATCATCCATTCTATCACAGAATTCTCATGAACTTCAAACTATTGTGTTTATAGCAGAGATTAAGGAAAGTTTGTGTTATGGCAAGGATTTTTACAGTAACATACAATTGTTCATAGGAAACACAGGCTTGAGTTTTATGGCAATTTTATTACCTATCTTTTGACACATTTCCACACGAGTCTGTGGTATATGATTGATCATCGAGATGTGGCTTGTCTCACTTGGGAAATTTATTTTAACTACAGTGAAAAGGGAATGCCTGAGATCTTACCCTTTATTTTAAGAGCTTTGCTGCATGACATTCGGCTGTCTCTTGATTTTACAGTCAGTGGAAGCAGTAGAGAGCCTGAAACACCAAAAGAGGTGAAATTCAAATACAAAAAATGACGCTTAAGCAGCGATAACAAATTACATTTGTATTGTATCTTTCACGTCGGGAGGATATCCCAAGGCGTTGGACTATCAGGGATTTGGACCTCCGCAACATGTCAAAAAGGAAAAATAATCAGTAAGGGTAGAAACTTCATACCTGCAGATGGATCTATATTGATAGAATGAGGAAGGTCATATGTTTGGTAGGTAATCTAATGCCCTTCCTCATTTATTCAACTCCATATATAAAGAGATAAGACGCAAGAATATAAGTTAAGGACAGCATAGTGCCATCCTTCCTGATACTGCTCACTTATGCCCCTAATTTCTGAGTGTCCAAATGACTGAGCTTTCCAGGATGTTTGTTGCAGCTGTCTGTTCAAGTCTTATTTGTCAATTTAAATGTTCGATTAACTACGCTAATCATTTGTCATTTTTATAATGCATTGGGATTTTGTTACAGAGGCTGAAGAGACAAAAATATAGTGTAACCACTCTATATTTTTATCTCTGTTTAATAATAGGATACTTCAAATCTGTTATCACAGATTTGAAGTATTCCTGTTATTAAACATCGTTACATATGGCGTTCACCCAAAATACCTTTATTTAGAACATGCTCATGGTCAAAATTGGTTTTATAGGATTGAAGAGTTATTTGTACATGACTGTTACCTGAGAAACTTGAGAAACGAATATTTGTTTGTGGGTGATTTATAATGGATTTGGGTTTTGCACAACATGTTGCAGTCTAATTCTCAAAAAACAGTGTTATATTGTACACACGGGGGTAGTTGATGCAAATGTGAGGGAGGAGAATGTGTGAGTCTTTTGTCAAAGGTAGCTTTGTTATTTGTATAGTATTGTTGCATGAATGTGGGAAAGATATTCATGATGTTTCAGGTAACCCTTCGGACCTGGGTAATTCCACATGTAGTGACAATGTATAATGGAATTAAGGGTTTGAATAATGTCGCATAAAGGTATCACTTGATTCTATTACATGTGAGTTGCATTTCAGGCTTGTAATATACTTTCAGATGTGTTATGTACATTATATACAGTTAGACCCACATGAAATCGAAAATGGGTTCATCCATGAATGTGTATGAAGCCATTTAAGAAGCAGTATGTTCAAATTGAGTTGGTCATGTTTTGATGCAAGCCGTGGGTTAATGTTTTCTGTCTTGCTTTTTGCAACAGCTTGTCACCTGTTAGATGACCCTGGATCACTGTTCGTGCAGCTGTGGAGCATTTTATATTTTAAGACTATTTAGTGCTTCCTTCCCGGAAGGAAGGAGCATATGGTGGCAGATAGCAACAGTGGGAAGAGGACGGCAACAAGAAAATACAAGAGTTTAATAAAATTAATTATTTCTTCAACAGAGCAGCAATCGAAGAAGTCGAAGGGGATGTTGCCGAACTAGAATCAAAGCTTGAGAAGGTGAGAAACATCACATGAAACACATACAGATTCATAGAAGCATAGAATTTACAGCACAGAAGGAAACCATACAGTCCCATACATCATTGTGCTGGCAATGTTCAGGAATTTGAAAAAAATTGGGATTGGGGGAAAGCGTAATAAAAATAAATGGTGGAAATTCACAGAGGGTCAATCAACATCTGAATAGGTTAATGATTCAGGCATGACATTACCATTCATCACAACTCCTGAAGGCTGAGATGTCCTGGCCAACAATCCCCCAGATAAAATTGATCATTCACTTCATGGTTGTTTGTGAGACATTGAGGTGTGCAAAATACCAACCACGTTCACCTACAAATACAGTCACTACACTTTACAGTACAATTCTATAAAACACATTGAGACATTCTGACAGTGTGTGGTTACATCAAATGCAAGTATTATAATATTATTGCCAAGAATTTTTGTTGCTTTTTGCTTGCTTATTTCTTTTGTAGTTATCTTATTACAAATGTTTCTGTAATGCTTTAAGGATTGCTGCTATAATTTTAGTTTTAAGAGGTCATTCCATCCTGCCACCCATTAAATATTTATTATTGTGCAACTGGATTCATTTAATATTCATTCCTTTTATTACCCAGAGAAACATTTTCGGGAATAGGTAAGAAGTCCATCTGGGGAGAGAATGCAGAGAGTGTGTACTTCTTACTCGACCAATAGAAGCAATTACACATTTGGAAATCTCGGTAGTTTGATTGGGAGCAATGATGGGTTTCTGCATTTGGTCCGTACAATGTTGACTATTTGATTTGTGTTAATCATGCCATGCAATCATATATCTTTAGAAACAACTGAGACCCTCCGGTAACTAAAACATTTTTTTTAAAAAAACTCACTCCATGACTGTTTGTGGGACACTGCTGTACGCAATTGGCTGCCGCGTTTCGCCGACAAAATATGCAGTCAGTTCACTTTACAGTATATTCCATAAATCTCTTTGAGATGTCTCGAAGACTTGATAAGGCACTTTGTCAAATGCAAGGATCATTATTATTGTTTTATGCAGTGTTTCAGTATTAAACATTAATACACTTCACAGGATATTATGGCGATTTACGCCATCTAGAAGACTTGAAAACTGCTATAATAGTAATCATCTTGTTCTCCCTGGAAGGCAGTCGCCTCGAGAATATTTTCCAGACGTCAAGCACATGTGTTGTGCTTTCGCAGGAAATCCAGACTTTCACCAGCGTGGCTTTGATGTCTCCAAAGAATTTCCATTTGTTTTTCATTTCTGATTTCATTTAGTACAGCTTTTTTGTGTGTGTGTTTGGGGCAGAACCTTTTATATAGCAGAACAAGTATAATGCTGTGTGCAAATATGATGGCTGCATGCACCATAGGTTCTATGATTTCTTCCTTTCTTCCAAAGCCTTATTACTACTGTAGTTGACTTTATTGCTTAAGACTGTTTTAATCAAAACCTGGAGCACAACGGGATTATTATGCTTTGATGTATTATTTGGGGGCTCACACTGCTTAATTGTACTGTAAGCTGCATAAGTACAATGAGCACTTCCATGGAGAACCACATCACAGAGCTATTATTTCTGTTTAATGTGATCCAGTGATATCATGCTGTTAAATGTGCTTAAAGGGAAAACAAATTAGGCTTTCTGTAACTGCTTCCACTATACATGAGGTGGGTGGGGGGGGGGGGTGTGAGAGAGTGAACCATGATTTATGAGGCAGTCTTTTATAACCTGGAAATAAAGGCTTTAACACAGTTACCTGGGCCAGCTGCCCCCTGTGCTCTGGTTACCTATATTTTGAGTTGGAGGTGAAATGGATCCCGTTGCATTTTGTTTGGCAAGAGCTTTAGACTGAAGTGGGAGCCAATCCAGAGGTGCTTGAATTGGGGGAAAAGGACAGCAATACTAGATTTTTCTCAGGGTTGGGTGGTTCAAGATGCTCGCGCTCCAATGGGACACGGTTGGCTCACTACAGTGCTGGAGCAGTCTGGTTCAGGGGAAGGAGAGCCCGATTGACACTGTTTATCGCAATGTTATGCAGCCTAGCTTTTCTGCAGCTGTTTTTCCGTTAAGTGATTTGCTGCACTTTTATCTGGAACTAGAGTGGATGCTGTTTGGAAACGGGGAAACATTCCCTCTTAAGCACAGGACTGGTGCCAAAATGTCATTAGTCACTGGGTGCTCATTATGCAGAAACTGGAAAAGCCATAGCAACAATTGAGATGGCTTGTGTAACATAAGGCGCATTATAATTATACTTCCAGCAAAGTGCACATGTGATGTGAGCTATCTGGGAATTGACTTGGAAAACTAAGTGTCCCTCATTGTACATCACAGAAAATTAGTCCTTTGCGTACCATTTAGCCAACTGTTAACAATGCCTCAAGCGGCCTTGATTGGTACCTTAAACACTTTTGGTGTAAATGTTGGTGATTAGATTTTTTTTCTCTAGGTCTAGAGAATTAGATGCATATTTTCTGATTTAAAGCATTCCTTTTCCCTCCTCCCTTCTCTCAAAATTCATTGCTACCTTTTGCAGGCATAATGCTGTATTGTAGGAGGGGCTGTCTTTTGGATGTAGGGCTAAGCCAAGGTCCCATCTGTCTCGTATCAATTTGGGTGAATGTTGAAGATCCCTTGGTGGAATTTTGAAGAGCGTCCCCAGAATCCTGGCTGATATTTCACCCTCACTAACTCAATAGCAAATTGAATCTCAATGTAGAGCTCTAACCCGCAGAATTATCAGTATTATTTTCTCCGCACGACTCCCATTGTGACATTTCGGTGCTATTTTGAAGCTGCTTAACGCAGCACGTTGTATTCCATATGTAGTATCACTCATATCTATATAAGGTTAGAATAACATCTTTTGACTTATAATCAAATGCATTGAAGATGTAACCTAGTTGTACTATATTTGATCAGGTTTTTTGGTAACCATTTGATAACACTGGGAGCTTTTCAGTGAATAATTTAATAATTGTGCTCATTAATTTTTTTATCTTCTCCAACTCTACTAATGGATCCCTCTTCATTGTGTACATCTAGTTGCTGACACTCCTTAGGCAGCGACTGAATTGCTTCAAATGTTAGAACTTAATACTGTACTTAAGAAAAAATTGAAAAAACAATTCCTGACTTTCATTCTTATTATCTATGAATAGTAACATGTCCCAAGAGTAAATACTTGAACTGATGTAGTTGCCACCCTTGGCCCTTCTAATACATACTGTCAGTTTGCCCATAAAAATATATAGTAAATTCACTTTGCTACTACTAATGATAACGCCTAATAATAATCCCTCTAAAAAAAACAAAAACAATAATAAATTGGTCATTTTCAATCCACGACTGTTGTGGGATACTGCTGTGCGCAATTGGCTGCCGCGTTTTGCCCACAAATATACAGTCAATTCACTTTACAACATATTCTGTGAAGCGCTTTGAGATGCCTAGAAGACGTGAAAAACGCTATATGAAATTCAAGGATTATTATTATTTCTGTGGCGCTTTGAGACATCTAGAAGATGTTAAGGCATTATATCAAATCCAAGGATTATTATTATCATACTACTTCCTCTTTTTTACAACGGGCAAACCAGTTTTCAATTCCAATAGCAATGTTTCTGTGTTTTGCAAGCTGCACTTATTATCAAAAGCCTTTTGAAAATTTGAATAAATTACGTTAACTGCAGGGGTCTTATTTAGAATTTCCTCAAAGAATTCCAGTAACTTCACAAAGTAAGGCATACGTTTTCTCCTCCCCTCCCTTCCGACTACCAATGTTAAATTCATTGATACGTAACTAATTATTTTGCGTTTCCTCTCTTTTGAATGTCTATCCCTTAAGCAGATTTGAGTCCTTTATGGTACTCTTGAAAATAATTTCAGCATGGATTTAGAGTATGCTTTAACCAATTCAAATTGTCCTCACTCTAGTTTTTTTTAAAATGGCATATTTGTTACTTGGTTTTAATGAGTGATTTAAATGTTTTTGAGTTATGTTTTTGACTAACTTGTTCCAAATTCCATTATTCTCCTTTCCAGTACATGTATATAGAACTTCTGCTTATCATTGACATTTGTTCGATTAGTTTCAAATTATGCCAAATTCAAAGGATTATCAGTTTCAATCCGTACGTGTTTTACTTTTTAAAACAAATCTTTGTAGAAATATTAAATGTGCTTATACACTTTTAAGTTCTTCCCATAGTGTTTGAAGTAAGCCTGCGTTACAGAACTATTATATTTTCTCTTTGTTTTCGTGACAGATTGGGAGAACTTTGGCAAAGGGAAGCTATGCAGATGGACAAATGAGGATGTGAGATACTGTAGTTACTGAAGTAGGCGTTTTTAAAATTGCAGCAGCAGATGGGACAGACTGTTGGACACTCACAAAGACAACAGAAATGTAGAATAACTTCTCTCCCTTTTCCTATTTACATCAGCAGAGATTGCCAAAACAAGTATTTAAATATTCAAATATTTGAATTTTTGGACGGTAACAAGCTGTCCTTGGTAGAAAAGCGTAATGTACTATGTAACCTTACTATTTCAGTCACAGAAATAGTTAGTTTCCAGGTACAGTTCTAGATTTTAGCAATTGTCGTCAAACTGGTCTGTTGTTAACCAGTTTCTCCAATAGTGTCTGCGTTACGGATTTCAGTAAATGTTTTGGTACAGCCCCAGTGAAGATTTATCTGTCTGTTTACTCAGTAACGAGTCAGAATTTTAAGTGATTCATGATGTTTAATGGATTCTCACTGCAAAAAGGAATTGTGTGAAATAAATGAAAGGTGTATGAGGCGTTAGTTTAAAATCAATCCAACTTTGACACAAAATAACTGTACGGGCAGGAATTTGAGTTGTGACACGTTGCCTCTCTGAATCTAAGATGTGCTTTGATTTGGGTGTATTGGAAGCTCCATTTCAAGCAATGCAACAAAATTAAACATGTAAATAGAGCTGATATCAAATTCCACCAAATTTGTGATCCACTGCAATCCTTTTTCATAAGCAAAGACGAATCGCTTTTGTTTCGTGAGTAAGAAGGGACATAACGTGTATTAATGGTGGCCCTATAGTGAAAAAGCTTGATAGCGTAGTCTGCTTTCAATGTTCTTTTCTTCTTGAGATGTTGGTGTGCAATATTGCTGCACTTTTGTTTTCTCCCCTTTCCCAGTCTAAACTGCTACGTCCGTTGTTTATCTCAAGTAAATGCAATGGCCAAGGTATGGATTACACCAGCACATTTATTTTGCCTGAGATACTAGGTTTAAGTGGGGTCAGGCAGTCATTGCGCATTAATAAAAACAAAAGATACTGGAGGTATTGAAGCAGGCAAATTGGAAAGAGCAAGATAGAATAACATTTCAGTTGTGACAGTGATTTTCCACAGAGTAACTTGGCTGGCGCCTGATGAAATCGAACCAAACTTAGCCAAACCAAACTAAGCTTAGTGAGTTAGATCAAATGGCATGAATTCATAATGGATTTTTTATTTGTTGTTCCACTCTTTTGTCCACTCAGCTTCTGGCTGAAATACCATATTCTGAGGAGCTGTGATGAGTTGCAAAAGTATGCTTTAGGATACATTTTTCTTGCTTTTTTTGTGGGATTTAATTTGTTCCTTAAATATTTTCTGTTTAATATCTATGGGAGAGGATTTCAGGAAAGTTTCTGTACATGAATCTATATTCATAGAATTATACCGCACAAAAGGAGGCCATTCGGCCCATCATGTCTGTGCTGGCTCTTCCTAAAGTGTGATTGCCAGGACTGAACACAGTCTCTAGCTGAGGCCTAACCAGTGTTTTATGAAGGTTCATCATAATTTCCTGACTTTTGTATTCTATGCCCCTATTTATAAAGCCTAGTATCCTGTATGCTTTTTTAACAGCTTTATCTACCTGTCCTGCACCTTCAAAAATTTATTTACATGAACCCCAGGTCTCTCTGTTCCTTCATCCCCATTAAGATTGTATTGCTACAATAATTATAGGATGTTTACCTAAAAATATAAACACTACAAAGTGAATGGAAAATAAGAGTGAATTTAGACCAATAAAAGTTCAGGTCAACAGCTGAAGCTTATGAGCTTGTTTTAAGAGTCCAGTTCTAGTTTTGGACATGTTTTGTAATTTGCTTAACACTTGTCCCTTGCATGATATGACTATTGAAACATTGATTTCTTTCCATATGCAACTTCAGTCTTTATTATTAATATTCCTTGCATTGGATACAGAGCCTAAAATGTTGAAACTTCTCAGAATGTGTCAGAGGGAATAGCTGTCAAGTATAGCGACTTTAATTATAGGTAAAATCTGTTTATAGGCCAATACAGAGTCAGATTGGATACATTTAAGGCTCCAAAGACAGCCATGAATGAAGTGAACGTTCAATTTATCTGGAGAGTTGTTGGCCAGGGTTGCAGGAGCAATTCGGAATTGTGTTATTGTATCATTATTGTTCACCAAATCTGAGGGAAGGGACTTTGGTTAAACCCCTTATCATAATGGCAGCATCTCTTGACATTCTAGCACTCCTCCCAGTCCTGCACTGGAATTCCAGCCTGTGATAAAAGCTTAAATTCCAACTTGGACCATAAGCCTGCGACCTTCTGTCTCAGGAATGGTGCCACCTGAAACAAGCTGATCTTGTTGAGCTCAATATCATGACTAACCAATATTATGTTAACTGCCTGAATATTTTTCGTATTTCAGGTTGTGAAGCTGTGCATTGGAATGATCGATGCGGGCAAGAACTTCTGTAACGCCAACAAGCAGTTTGTCAATGGTATTCGGGAGCTTGCTCAGCAGTCCACCAAGGATGAAGTCATTGAGGTAAGAACTCCTGTTTATTAAACAGAGTGTAACTTTTGAGAATGGTAACCAAATTCCTTTTGGCAAATGTCCAGGATAAAGGTGTGTCTCCACCTAATCAACAACACTGTATTAGTTGAAAGTCACTTTAGTGCAATAAAGCTAAGTGTACAGAATAGGTGTGGCTGGAACACGCCTAACTAGGATGACTGTTATTAATATAATGATCAATCTATTGGTACAATATTTGCATTAGATATCAAAAAATCATGGGCACATTGATATTTAAAAACTCATGAATTTAGTAAATTTGGATTACTGTGCGTAGTAAGTAATGTAATGCTGATGATTTAAGTCCACCTGTCTGGTTTCCACCCCCCCACTCCCTCCCACTAGGATGACTTGGAGAATCTTTGTTACAGGTGTTGAGTCAGCAGCAGGTGAAGGGGAATCACCACCATGTGTCTGAGGCGGTTAATGAGATTCGGAGGGCGCACTGTGCTCATGGATAATGTAGGCAGATGTAACAGCCCATATGCCGATGTTGGGTGTATTACCTATGTAGAATGCTAAGGGAATGTTTTGTTTTCTTTTGCTGTTTATACTGCCCTAGCAGCTTCGTGAGCAACTTCATTATAATAGTCAATCAAGTTGTTCAGGCCACTTCATTGAACTCAGTGGGAAGTCTGAAAGAGTGAATGCTGGTTTGGGCTGAATCTCTTCCTGAAATGTGTGTTGCCAATTATAGAACAAATCTGGCACAAGTACTGATGTATGCTGTGCTTGAGTTGTGAGTTTTGGCATCAGGTTTCTACCCAATAGTCAATCTCTTGTGTTAGGCCTGAGCTACAAACCTTATTCCATCAATTACCAGCTTGTGCATTAATGGGTGCAGATACCCGTGCTTTAGGGACACCGATTGTTGCCTGACTTGGAATGCTGAATATCCCCCTAATGTAAGTAACCAGATGATCATTTATACTTGAGATGAGGCAACCTTCTGCTCTAGTAAAGATGCACAAATAGTTGAGAATGACAGATTAATCTGGATGATTGTTGGCCAGGCTACCAAAATAATTTTATTTTGGATAATCTCGTAGATCTTAGTGCCTACCTGAAGAACCAGGCAAATGTGATATTTGTTTAATGTCTCATCCAGTGTACTTCTCCAGACAGGACTGTGCTGGAGTGTCAGCCACCTTAAAGTTCAATTTCCAATGTGGGGTACTGAAACTATAACCTTTGGTTCTGTTTTTTTTAGAGCCACCTGATGCGGTTTTCAGAGAGCCTGAGCGAGATGGTTAACTACCACACAGTAAGATGTCATAAATTCTAATGTTGATGCTGCTTGACTGTGTCCTTTTATTCATGTTAACATGTAAAGCACGCTTCGTAAACTCAGCTATAGGTTTGCCGCTTCTAACATTCGGAATGCTTTTAGCTTTGTTAAAACCCAAGTATACGGTTGGATTCATTTAGGGTTCATTCTCTATTTCCAAGGGTTCCAACTCGCTCTTTGTGGTGGTCTCGGTGGTCTGGTTCCTGAGCCAGGCAGGTCTGCAGTTCTCCAGTGCACTGCTGATGACACTACAGCCAGCTAATTTCCTTTCAATAGCTGTAGACATTTTGTAGTAAGGCAAATTGTGTGTGTGTATGTGGGATAAAATTGAAACAAACTTTCCTATATATTTTCATTGAATAACTATTGAGTCATGTCTGACTGGTTTCGGAGGTTTGTGACATATATTTAAAAGAGATTATTATTATGGTATTGTTTACAACAATATCAGTAAGAATATCAATAATAATATAAAAGATACTGTTATAAATAAAAATATTTTAACTTGTATTGAAACGTGTCTGAAAATAGGAGAGTTACAATTCTTAGTTGCAAAACATATCACATGACAACATTCAGCGCCAGACAGGGTTGCTGATGCTTAAAGTCTGCTCAGAGGTTAACCTGGGGATGTTGTAGCAAGCAAAGCAGAAATAGGATTGTTGCGGATCCTGTACGCCACACGTGCAGGTTCAGTATACTGAGAAGTGATGTCATTACTTGTAGATTGAACTGAAAATAACCAGTCAAGCAGTCCCCTCTAGCACTCCAAGTCTTTTACTGCACCTTCAATATCCACTAAAATTGATTGATTATTTCTCTTTCCTCTTGTCAGTCCCACCCATTGCTGATATTCTAGGCATTAATTAATCCACTTGTTTATTACCCTGGGGTGTTTTCAACATGACGTGAAGTGGTGACATCAGCAACATAAACTGCACCAACTGAAAATGTTTTCCTGTGCAGTAGAGTGCAGTTCAGATTTGTGTGGGCAATGGGAGAGAAATAATTAATGCTACAGTTCAGAATGAGGCCTTGTTTAGAACTGATTGAAGGAGAGATGACCTGAGCAATATGGTAGCACAAGAATGTTGATTGTCTCACTCCCAGTGGATGACTGCAAATCCTCATTGTAAGTGGAGATCCAGTGAATGAGGAATGATCTGGTATGTAAAATTCAATGTCTTTTAAAGAAGACTGCTACAAAGGAAAACCCGTCAGTCAAGAAACAAATCCTCAACTTTGCAAATGACTTTAAACAGCAATGATTTGTTTTGTGGGCGCACCTGAGCATATAATGCAGCGACCTCAAGGTGAAACATTGTTCAGCAGCACAGAATAATTTTGCAATGACCACTAAAATTGTATCACTTGCATTGTACACTTTATAAAATGATTGTGATTTTTTTTCCCTCATTTTCTTTAAATCCTCTGCCCTATTGAATCATAGTCTAGGAAGTTGTATAGTTAGGCAAACTATATCTGGGTTTTGGGACACCCTCCTGATGTGAAAGGTGCTGTATAAGTATGAATTGTACTGTGTTTGCCTGTGTCACTCTGTCAGTGGCTCTTTAAGAGGTAGGGTGTATTAGGGCAGAGCATTTAGATTCACCTTTCTGATGAACTGGCCTCAGCACCTCAGGCTCTGGCAGCATCAACCTCCATGGTCGCACACTACAACTCATCAAGCCAGTCAGGAACCTAGGTGTCTTGTTCAACCCTCAACTGTCTTTTCTCCACCACATTCAAACCATGACCCGCTCTGCCATCCCTCACCTCCGTAACATTGCCCGACTCCGCCACTACTCCACCCCTCAGGCCACTGAAACTCTTGCTCATGCGTTCATCACCACCAGGCTCGACTATGCAAACGCCCTACTTGTCGGCCTTCCCAACTCCTCCCTCCACAGACTACAGATAATCCACAACTCTGCAGCCCGGGTCCTCTCCCGCACCAAACTCCGTGACCCCATCTCCCCCACTCTCGCCCGACTCCATTGGCTCCCTATCCTTCAGAGGATCCAGTTTAAGATCCTGGTCCTCACATAAAAAGCCCTCCATGGCCTCGCCCCACCCTACCTCTGCAACCTTCTAAACCCCTACCAACCCGCCCGCTCCCTCCGCTCAGCCCGGCTCTGGCCTGCTCCACATCCCCCCTCCCCACCATTGGTGGGAGAGCCTTTAGCCACTCCGCCCCCAACCTCTGGAATTCCATCCCTCAGTCACTCTGCCTCGCCCCCTCCTTAACCTCCTTCAAGGCCCACCTCAAGACCCTCCTATTCGACCATGCCATCGGCCACCCCCCTTCCCCTCCCCCCCGACCCCAGTTCGGGTCTGAAATGCTGTACTCTGTCCAGCGCCTTGGGATGTCCTCCCGACGTGAAAGGCGCTATACAAATGTAGTCTTCTTGTTCACTATACTGTGGGACAAACTGTGCTGGTGCACCTCAAAGTTTTTTTTGAAAGAAAGGGAAATCCTTTTAAGGAGCTGTAGGAACGCAGTGCTCAGTGTTGGCAGAAGATCGAAAAATTGCTTTGCTGATATGTCTCGTTTCCGACTGGTAGTATCTATGAATCACGGGCAAAGCTTTTCCTTTTCCTTCAAATTTCTTCCTCTTATTGCACCACCACTAATGGGGGGGAGGTGTGGGGGGAGAGATATTGCTGGAAATCTATTTTCCCTCATATTCCTGATCAGCATTTCCCACTCTTCTGGAATTCAGAAAAAATGAGAGATTGATTTGTTATACATAAGAATAGGAGTAAGCCATTCAACCTGTCAAGCTTGTTCTATTTTATTAGATGGTAGGTATTTAATATTTTTTTACTTTACTTTTTTTTGCCATGTGCCTCAATGGCCTTGCTTCCCAAATAGTCTTCCTTTTTTTAAAAAAAATTAGCTGTCATGTTTGCCGACATAAATGGATACTATTCTTCCAAGAAACTGCTTGGGGCTTTTACCAAATGCAAATATTATTAGTATCAAAATGCACAGTGAATCCACTTTACATTATATTCTGTGAAGTGCTTTGAGATATATCAACAGCAGATAAGGTGCTGCATCAAATGTGAGGATTATTATTATCTAATTCAATGCTGCATTTTGTAGAAAAATTGAAAAGTTTGAACATGAATCCTATTTTTTTTAAAAAGTCAACTCCTCCACATCGGTAACTTGCATTTGCATACCGGTTCCACTAATTTAGGGATTTATTTTCCATGCACTACCAAACATGCATTTGGCAAGCACACATCTGTCTTTACTAGGTGATAACATCGCATCACATGTGTAGCTATTAATCTTTGAATATTATGAGACGTTTTTATTCCATTGGACTTTACCCTCAATTTCCATAGTTATAAAACCAACCAACAATATTAAAAATAATATAAAAAGTCAATTTTGTTACACTTTCAGCAAGAAAGCTAATCAGGAAAACCGAATACCATCAAATGGTTTTGATGGAACTTTATTACATAAGTATATTTTAGCACAACTACATTTGTAATGGCCCGGAGACAATAGTCCACTCTGAGTAACAAAATCTTGTGTTTATACTGAAAGAGTGCGATCATGCTGCTCTTGAAGCCATTTCCTCCAGGGGCAATGGTTGAAGAGAAGTCCAGCACAATTCAGGCTACTCGGTTTACAAAGAGTTACATGGAGTATGACAGCGCGCAAACAAGCCATTCCAACCAGTTTGTGCTAATGTTTATACAAGTAGTGTATGTTGTGTTTATGCTTCACACAAGTCTCCATCCTTCCTGATCCCCTCTATTCCTTTCTCTTATATATGCATCACATTTCCTTTCAAATAAGATGCTTTTTGCCTGAACTACAACTTTCGACTTCTATATTCTTACCACCGTCCATGTAACAAAGTATCTCCTAAACTCACCTTTGCATCTGTTCCTGGCTAAGTGCTTATGCTGCATTGTTTTAGACTCACCAACGAGTGGAAATAGCCTATTAATGTCCACCTTACCGAATCCTTTCGTCATTTGAAACAGGTTCCCCCTCCCTGTCTCGTTTTCAGAGAGAAAAGCTCTAACCTATCAAACCTTGTGATAGCTGTATCCACTGTTCCCTGGTAACATCCAAGTAAATCTACCCTAGTAGATTATTTTTGTTGTCCATTACGTTTCTTCCTTCCTGTAATTGCCACTGTTTTTAGCATGTGTTTTATAGTTAGAATATGTATCAGTTAGTTATGATGCTGCCACCCAAATAAAGAGTAAATGAATGCTGTTTGAATGCAAAAGAGTGTGTAATCAAAGTATACTGGGTTTCTTATGAAAGACTTGATGTTGCTTTGCACAAAACAGGGTGTAAGTGCAAGTTCAAGAATAGCAGGGGAAACTGGTTGCTAGGTGTAGCAATAATACAACTCCTTCTATTATACAAATGTACAATACAAAGGCCGCTGCATGACTCAGTGGTTCTTGCCTAGTTTTGTTGCATAAGATGTAACTTATTTCTGTTGCGATGGTTCCCTGGGAAGGGAAATGTTTAATATATTGTTTACAAATGATCACCGTGTTTGCCACTTACATGATATCAAGTACAGTTTGGAATATGTGGACCCGAATGGTCAAAATCATAACATCCATATAAAGTCCAAAAACATAAGATGAGTAGAGGTTTTTAACCTATAATTTAGGGAAGAAAGCCTGGCGTTATATTCAGAAGGATATAAGCTTGATTTTTTTTCCCCCTTGGCAACATTCAATTATTTAATGCCTTAGTCAGTGTTCTATGCCTCATGTTAAAGTTGTAGATATTTAGAAGAAAATTTCATGTCAAGTATTGAACCGATTGGAAAAACAGCAACAATATTAAATGATAAAAATCACAAAGACTGGATAAATCCATCACTCCCATCTTACATTATAATCCAAATCAATCCAACTGTTCTAAATTTATTTTTATACAAAAGACATTCCCCACCCCACCCACACACACACTTTTTAATTAACAAAGACAACAACTTGCATTTATATAGACCTCTTCACGTGCAGCAGGTTCCCGAAGCACTTCAATTACAATGTAGACCCAATTGGAGTCCTGTAGCTCAGTGGTTAGAGCACTCGCTTTGCAAGCGAGAGACCTGAGTTCAATTCCAGGCAGAGGGCGAAACCTTGGGCAAGTTTCCTTACTCCACACGCCTAATAATCCCTCCAAAAACCAAAAACAATAATAAATTGGTCATTTTCAATCTACGACTGTTTGTGGGACATTGCTGTGCGCAATTGGCTGCCGCGTTCGCCCACAAATATACAGTCAATTCACTTTGCAGTATGTTCTGTGAAGGGCTTTGGGACGTCCTCCCGACGTAAAAGCGCTATATCAAATGCAAGGATTATTATTATTATTATTAATGACTGTTGGTGAAGACCAGATTTTGCACAATCGAAATTGCTACAAGTTGAGCCTCCAAACTACAAAACCAAACACTTCAACCTTTCCTGATTGTATATTTAAGTAGGTTATACTGGGTAATGTGACACTGAGGCATGAAGATGGAAACGCTATGGTTTGATCTTTGATCTGGGTTCATGAGTTAATCTCAGTTGAGCGTTACATTGGCAACACTGAAATTATTATCACCAGGGCCTTTGGAGGGAGGCAGATTGCTTGCCTTTGATCACTTGTCTAATGACCCCTGCTGGAAGCATGTAATCACGTTGTGAATAATTTGGCACTCACTTATCCATTCATACTTGGCAAAAGTCACTTTATTTTGGAGTGGAGCTGTCATCTGCAGTACTGTGTATCATCAGTACACAGTACACATTGATCACTGCTTTCATTTGAGGGGAAAGAAGGGAGAATAAAGAGCAGAAATGTCAGGATCCAACGGCAATCGTACTATAAGCAAAACTGCGTTGTAATGCATTATAATACAGCACAATGTAAAGAGGTTTTACGGTAAATGTAAATATTGTCAGGAAACAATTTTAATAAGTACTTCTGGATTCACAAGCTAACGTTTCCTGTGGTTTATTAAAAAAAACTTTATTTTAGTTGAATTTCTGAGATTGGTTTTAGCCTTGTGTGTTGTTTTTTAAAAAAAAGGGTAAATCAAGGCCTTTGCTTAGGGCATCTCTGAGATGATAGAATCTTACAGCACAGAAGGAGACCATTCGTCCCATCGTGCCCTTGTCGGCTCTTTGAAAGAGCTACCAACTAGTCTCACTCCATGCTCTTACCCACAGCCCTGCAAATCTTTCCTTTTTAAGTACCTATCTAATTCCCTTTTGAAAGCTATTATCGCATCTGCTTCCATCACCCTTTCAGGCAGTGCATTCCCGACTGGAACAACTCTCTGGGTAATAAATTAACTCTCTGAATTTAAATGAACTACTTCCTTCCATCTTTTACAAATGTCGTTTGCTACAGGATATTCTATGGTTGCTCATTTATTGTGCATTGCTTCACAAGAGATTTGCTTTTAACGTTGGTAACGCCTAAAGCACGAAGCATTGCAGGGTTGACAGAACTACAAGTAAAGACTGCCAGAAAAGATGGTTGAGGCCAGGACATGCCGGCTTGATACGCAAATTACCGCCCTATCTCCAACCTCCCTTTCCAAGGTCCTGGAACGATTTGTTGCTTAGCTCTTTCCTCTCCTTTCACAAACCCCTCCAATCCACAGCATAGAAACACCTTTGATTAAAGTGACAAATGACGTTTTGTCTATCTGGAACCAGGGCTTCCTCTACTTCCTTGATCTCACACCATTTGACACCGTTAACCACCCTATGCTCCTCTATCGCCTCCTCTCACCTGAACCTTCATGGTTTTGTCCTTGAATGGTTCAGATCCCACCTCACACCGTCTCCACTTCATCTCCATAAACTGCTTCTCCTCTAGACCCTGCATTGTCTCGTGAGGCATTCCTCGGGACTCTGTCTTTGGTCCCCTTCTCTTTAATATCTATAATACTTCCTCTTGGTGACATCATCCACAGACATGGGGTCGTCTTCCACATGTATGTGAATGACACCCAACTCAATCTCTCTGCCTCCACCCTCGATTCTAGGACCCTGCTGTGCTGACAGAATGTCTGTCAGACATCAAGTTCTGGATGAGACCTAACTTTCTACAGTTGAACGACAACAAGACCGAGGCACTCCTGATTGGCTCCCGTCAGCGCCTCCACACCTCAGGCACCGAGAGCATCACCATCCATAGATGTACACTCCACCTTGCTGAGCCTTGACATTTTTTGACCCTCAACGATACTTTCTACCCCACATCTGTGCTATGACCCGCTCTGCCTTCCCCAACCTCTGAAACATCGCCGGGCTCCGCCACTGTCTCACACCGCAGGCCGCTGAGACCCTCATACGTGCATTCCTAACATCCAGGTTCAACTACGCAAACTCCCAGCTTGTCAGCCTCCCCAACTCCTCCTCCATACTGTAGATCATCCAGAATTCTGAAGCTTGTGACCTCTCCCGCACCAGGCACCACGACCCTATCACCCCCACCCTAGCCCGACTCCATTGTCTTCCCATCACACCGAGATACAGTTCAAGATACTGGTCCTCACTTTCAAGCCCCCATGGCCTCGCTCCCCCCTACCTTTGCAACCTCCTAACCCCCTGCTCCCTCCACTAAGCGGGTTCCAGCCTGCTTCACGTCCCCCGCCTCACCTGCCCTACCATTGGCGGGCCACCTTCAGCCACGTGCTGATGGGCTTAGTTGAGGAAGGGCAGGAGTAGATTTGTGGAACATAAACGCTGGCATAGACCAGTTGGGTTGAATGGCCTGTTTCTGTGCTGTATATTCTATGTAATTCTATGGAAGGTGCTATACAATGTAATTTTGTTGTTTTTGTTGATGGGAAGACTGTAGGGTGTGTACCCTGGAAGGATGAGATCAAATGGGCCGAAGGGCCTTCTTCATCCAAACCAATCTTATGTAAAGCACAAGGATAATGTTCTGAATGCCAGTAATTTTAGAAACTTGAAAATATGCAGTTTGTTAATGTTCACCTACAAAATACACAATCACTGTAAAGTCCTACAAGATGTGCTACCAAAGGGAAAGCAAGTATTATTATTGTTATATTAAAATCTTGTTTCAGTGGTGCAAAGTAGACATTTCACAAGGTTACTGGTGAAACACATGATTCGAATGCTTTCAAAATTCTGCAGATCACTGTTGATGAAACCTGCTGTGAAACTAGAGCAGTTAGATCCAGAAGATTTCCGGTTCAATCCCTGGTGTGTGTTGATTTGACTAATCTCAAACTAGAGCTATAATACAGCATTACAATTGGCTGTTGGACTGGGGAGAAATCATCTGTTCCAGTTCCTAATTGCTATCTTGTGACCTCCAGCTGGAAAGTGCATATGTGTGGTTGTTAAGTGAAAACAGGATAAGGGGAACTGATTATCCTCACACTGGAATTGTTTGCCAACACACGCAGAACATACATTTGAGTGAGGCACTACAGTTTCGATGAACAACAACTTTAAGAGATGATGGCACACACACACATACACAACTTTCGCTGAATAAATACGTTTACAATGGCATTTACTTTTTATTTTAAAATATTTCCTTATTTTTTCAGATTCTGATTGACCAGGCTCAAAGATCCATCAGGACCCAACTTCAAACGTTTGTTAAAGAGTGTGTAACTTTTTAAATTTTATGTATTCTAGGTATCCTTTTGATCTATTTGGCAACTCAGCACAATATAAAGTATTGAGTCCAAAATTCTGATTTAATCTCGGGTAACTATTTACCATGTAACACCTTTTGTGAGCAGAAAATGTTTTTGCGGTGGACTATGTCTACTGCTTACATAGAAACAGGAGTAGGCCATTCAGCCTCTTGAGCCTGTTCCGCCATTCTATAAGACCATGGCTGTAGTACCATAGTACCTCAGATCCTGAGTGGCTGTAGATTTATTTCAACAAGAACAACAAATTGCATTATTGTAGCGTCTTTCATGTCGGGAGGGGACATGCCGAGCGGAGGGAGTGGGCAGGTTTTTTTTAGGTCGCAGAGGTAGGGACGAGAAAGCCTATGGAGGGCTCTAATCTTCAACTCGATCCTCTGGGGGATGGGGAGCCAGTGAAGCTGGGTGAGGATGGGGCTGATTGGCTCTCTGGGTGTAGGAGAGGACATGAGCTGCAGAGTTGTGAGTAATCCGCTGCTCGTGGAGGAAAGAGTTATGAAGTCTGGCGAGCAGGGAGTTAACATAGTCAACGTCTGGATATGATGAAAGCAATTGGCCAATTGAACACAATGGTTTTATCAAATGTTTTCAAGATGAATTTGCTTTCATGGCTGTGCAATATGAAAGCTTCAGTTTTAAATCAGTAATTCTTTGCTGTACCTAAAAAACCATTAGCATGGATAAATGTGCATGTACTGAACGTAACTGAGTGCTCACATGTGTTTCACGTGCTGATGCAAGTTGTTTGCCCTGCTCTTAAATGCTCCCACGCCTTGCCTGGAAAGGTCAATGTGGAGTTTTTTTTGCATGTAATTTAAAAAAAAAAGTTCCATTTTCCTTCGCACATCAAATTAGTAAGAGAATGAGAAAAATAATACTATCTCAGTTTCAAAGGTCCTTCCCCCTCTTTAAAATTAGTAGACTTTCTTCATAGGTTTCAGCTGCAATAATCTAATGTATTTTTTTGTATAAAAAAAACTTATTTCAGGGATCTCAGAAAATTTAAAGATGCTAAAAAGCAGTTCGACAAGGTCAGTGAAGAGAACGAGAATGCCCTGGTCAAAAACGCTCAGGTTCAGCGGAATAAACAGCATGAAGTGGAAGAGGCGACAAATATCCTCACAGCAACACGCAAGTGCTTTAGACACATAGCACTGGATTATGTTCTGCAGGTGAGGCTGCTTGTTTCTAATGTACGCAATATGAGGGTATTATTTCCTTAAAAAAATAATAATAATAAATTGATCACTCAATCCACGACTATTTGTGGGGCACTACTGTGCGCAAATGGTTGCCACACACAATATACAGTCAATTCACTATATATTTTGTGAAGCGCTTTGGGATGTCTTGAAGATGTGAAAAGGCTATATCAAATGCAAGGATTATTATTATTATGATTCGCTGCAGTACCATTCTGCTGAATTATTTATCACTAGCCTAAATTTAAATGTTTACTTCTACTCTTCCTTTACTTGCCTGAGACTACAGAGAGCAACTTGAATTGCAAGTTGGAGTGAAGCTACCCACAGTTATGGTTTGCTTAAAATAGAAGTTGAGTGGGCTGCAGTGTTCTGAATGCTGGTTGAGATTGCTGTACGATTTGTCAAGGGCACAGTTTGGGGACTGGAGATACAGAATATGCTGCTGTTTTCTGCCCAATAAAATGTTCTGTTCATTTCTTCAGGCACTAGACTACAAAGTCATGTGTTGGTCCGTTAGAATTGGTCACTCAATCCTGTTTGTGGGACATTGTTGTGCGTAACTGGCTGCCGTGTTTCACTTACGAAATATTGACTTTAATGTATATCCTGTGAAGCGCTTTGAGACATTTCAATGACATGACAAGGCGCTATATCAAATGAAAGGATTATTATTACTCAGGGCTGGTGTAGAACATTTGATACTCTCTTTAAACTCTATTCTTAACCAGTTGAAAATGTGGCTAATGTTACTGATTTCCTTGCACAGAGATTGTGTTTGTCTCTTTCCCATCCCAATAATGATTATAATTAGTCTTTTTTCCCCCCACGTCATTCGTTATGTAATTGCTACCTTTCTTACAAAAGAAGCAAACCACATACTGTGATTTTCTTGATGAATTAATAGTCAGTTTCATTACAGAAGTCGTACAAAATTATTATATAATGATACAGAACAGAGAATAAAGGCAAACAGTTCTGAATCCTCTCCCTGCCTTTGTGAACATTTATCTTTTCAAATAATCTCATTCTCTTTGTATTGCGGCATTGTAAACTCAAGCTCAGGATTTTTCTGGCAATAAGAACCTGTCAATTTTCAGTGGCAGCTCAGAAATAAATGAATACAACCAGTCGAAGATGGAGAAAACTATCTACTGTGGGGGGTATGGGAGTGTTGGAGATCCGAGTAAAATCCACAATTACTGCAGTTGACTGTTTCAGAGCAGATAATTTTGACTAAAATTTTAGAAGCTGGCCAAGAAACTGCCTTTGCTTGGGCATAATACGAGGAAATAAAGCCAGCATGTTTAATTCTGATATGTTGTGCCAAATGATGGGATGTGGGTTTGTGACTACACTTCTAACTCAGCAAGTTTCTAATCTTACTCACTCTCATCGCCTCTCATGAGAATTTTGTACACAGCAGAAAAAGCATATTTTGAATCCAAATTATCCAAACACTTAATTACATCTTAAATGCCTCTAAATTCTCCCACACATTCCCCCACCTTCAGTCTTTGTTGAAAAGACTATAGAGACCTAATTTCCTCATAGATCTGGAATGAAATTTGTTGCTCTGTTTTGAAAAAAACTAAACTGCATGTGGATGATAGTCTCACTAAGGCAATTATCACATGACTCAACTGTTCATCTCAACCTTATTTTAAAAACAAGATGCCATGGCTTTAGGTGGTTTTAGAGGCAATAAAGTCCCAAGCTTTCCAATTTCCCATTAAATATAATTTTAACAGTTTTGGGGCACCGTTTCACTTCCTCTAAGCGTAATTAGGTGATTAGAGTTATGAAGTTTCTTGTGAATATCTTGAGCAGATTTCACTCACAGACGTGTGCCTTAACATTTGTAAGATCTGATTTCTTCTACACTTGCGAAGTGAATCGGGTTTCCTTTGTCCCAACCTGTATACCCCCTAGGTAATTGGAGTCTTAATTCTCTTGTGTTTCTGTCACATGACCATTGTTTTTGACCCGGAAAGATTTTATCATTTACCACTTGCAGTGCTGTTGAATGGAAACCAAGGGAAACTGCCTCGAATATCTAGTTTAGTAATAGACTGACAGGAGAATTACATCCATGAATGGCTCTTTCATTAATATCCTTTGCAATTCAACCACATGCTGGCCCCAAGCTACCTCATGGGATCACATGCACATTTGTAATCTGCTTCAGCCTCTCTTCTAAAAGTAACTAATCTTCGACTGCGAGGATTATGATTATCATTCAGCGAGGCAATATCCCAACCTCCCCCCATGAGTATTGATTTGATCATATATTTGTATGCTGTGTTTATTCTGCTAAAGAAAATATATTTGCAGAATGTTTTTCACAGGCAATGTCCTTTGTATTTTAAGAGAAGTTTGAGTGTCGCCATCTGGTGATAGAAGGTTGTATCAGTGGGCCTTCACACGTACATTTACTTTTCATAGTTACTACTTTCCTGAAGAACCATTTGTTTAGCAAAGTTTTTTACTATTTGTAATGTGCAATGATATTGGCAAGCGACATCATAATACAGTAGTCAAGTTGCATTCCCATAGCATCTATTGAAAATGAATCTGCACTCGCCTCTCTCTCCAAGTTAAGATGAAATTAGCCGGATTTAGAAAGTTGGTGTGGGACGCACAATTGTGCCTCTTCATTCAGATTGATGGCCCAGAGCCTTTACTCAACATAAGCCAGTGTGTTGTACACTATAATCAAGCTAGACAAAATGGTATTCGTCAAAGCACTTCCCGAAAAAATGAGACCAGATGTTGATCTGAAAAGATAATGAGAAATTTGTCCCAATTTTTATCGTGCAAATTACGCATCAAAATAGTGTTGTTACTTTTTTTAACAAGCTTGGGGAAGAAAGCCTAGAAATGATGGAGAGCTGTTTTTTTTCAGCCTGTTTACCAACATTTTCAAGTGCTTTGACTTGGTTTAACGTTTTCTGCAGCTCATTTTGCATACTTGTTCTTTCCTCGACTTCAAGATCCTCACTCTTGTATTCAAATCCCTACACCCTTTGCCCCCCCCCTACCTCTTGACCTCTGTTGCCTTCACTCCTCCGGGTCTGGCCTCCTCCTCATTCCTCGAGTCCTCCGCTCTAACCTCGGCAGCCCTTCAGCCACTACGCCCAGAGGCTCTGGAATTCCCTTCCTCACTCCCTTCGCCTCGCCCCCTCCCTTCCTATTTTCAGGTCCCAGCTGAAGACCTTTCTTTTCGATTGCGCCTTTGGTCACCTTCCTCCCCCCTCCCCCTGGCTCAGCCCTGGGATCTGTTACTGTGAAGTGCTCTGAGACGCCGTCCGGTATGGAGGGCGCTATATAAATCAAAGTTGTTGTTGTTGTTGTTCCTCTCCTTATTAAAAAGATTTTCCCTTTTGGTAGACTTGGCTAAGTTTTCTTGAAAGATGGTTAAGATGAGGAGAAACTGAGCTCTTTGGTAATTTTTGTTTACATAGCTGCCACATTTTTCTCCCTTCTGGTCATAGAAATAATGAGGTCTCTGAGCATGAGCAAGTCATTGAAAACATTGGAGGATCTGAATTGGCCCCTAGCTGGGACATGGGCCAAAGAAACCTATGTCATTTAAACAATAATAACAACAACAACAAAATTACATTTATAGAGCGCCTTTCACATCGGGAGGACATCCCAAGGCACTGGACAGTCAGGGGTCAGGACCCGAGCATGGGGGAGGGGTGGAATAGGGGTGAGGGAAGGCATGAACAAAGAGAAGGGTCTTGAGACCGGCATTGAAGGAGGCAAGAGAGGAAACGAGGCGAAAGGACTGTGGGATGGAGTTACAGAGTTGTGGGGACAGAGAGGCTGAAAGTCCGGCCACGATGGTAGGGCGGCTCGGGTGGGAGACATGGAGCAGGTCGGAGCCCGCTGAACGGAGGGAGCTGACAGGTTGGAAGGGACTCAGCAGGTCAGAGAGGTAGGAGGGGGCAAGGCCTTCGATGGCCTTAAAGGTGAGGATGAGGATTTTGAACTCGATCCTCTGAGGGATGGGGAGCCAGTGGAGTCGGGCGAGGGTGGGACTGATGGGCTAACGGAGCCTGGTGCGCTTGTGAAAGGAAGAATTGGGAAGGCCGATGAGGAAGGAGTTTGCATAATCGAGCCTTGATGTGACAAATGCATGGATGAGGATTTCGGCAGCCTGAGGGGTGAGGCAGTGGCGGAGTCTAGCGATGTTGCGGAGGTGGTGTTCGGCTGTGCCGGTCATGGCGTGGATGTGGGGGAGAAAGCACAGCTCAGGGTCAAATAAGACATCCAGGTTCCTGACTGGCTTAGTGAGGTTGAATGTGCAACCATGGAGGCTGATGCTGTCAGCCCCCGAGGTGCGGAGGTGCTGGCGTGAGCCAATCAGGAGGGCCTCGATTTTGCTGACGATCAGTTGGAGAAAGTTGTCCCTCATCCAGGACTTGATGTCGGACAGGCAGTCGGTCAGGATACCAGTAGTCCTGGAGTTGAGGATGGAGGCAGAGAGATAGAGTTGGGTGTCATCCGCATACATGTGGAAATTTATCCCATGTTGCGGATGATGTCACCAAGGGGGAGCATATAGAGGGTGAAGAGGACAGAGCCCTGAGGAACACCGCACGAGGCGGTGCGAGGGCTGGAGGAGAAGCCATTTGCAGAGACGAAGTGGAGGCGGTGTGAAAGGTAGGACCTGAACCAGTTAAGGACAACCTTGAAGGTTGAAGTGGGAGGAGAAGCGGTGGAGAAGGATTGAGTGGTCCACAGTATCAAAGGCAGCGGAGAGGTCGAGGAGGACCAGGAGGCAGAGGGAGCCCTGGTCACACATTGTCAGGATGTCATTTGTGAACTTGACCAAAGCAGTTTACTTGTTGTGACCAACACGGAAACCTGATTGGAGGGGCTCATGGAGGGAGTGGGAGGAGAGGAAGGAGCGAAGCTGGGAGGCAACGGCTCTCTCAAGGACCTTAGACAGGAATAGGAGGTGGGAGATGAACCAGTAGCTGGATAGCTGTGATGGGTCAAGGGAAGGTTTCTTCAAGGTGGGGGTGATGGTGGCTGTTTTGAGAGGGGTAGAAACAGTGCCAGATGACATGGAGAGGTTGATGATGTCGGCGAGTAGTGGGGCAAGGAGGTGGAGCTGGAATTTAAGGAGAGGGGTGGAGAGGGGTCCAGGGACCAGGTGGTGAGCTTCATGGAGGGTATGGTGGTGATGACAGAGGAGGGGGACAGGTTCAAAGGTGTGGAAGGAGGGATAGGTGGTGGGGGGTAGGGAGGGGATGGAAGTTGGGAGGGCAGTGGCAACTGAGTGGATTCCCTTGATTTCGGACTCGAAGAAGTCCCGCATTTCCTCACAGTGGGAGTCGGAGAAAAGAATCTGCGAGGTGTGACGGGGATGGACGAGGAGCCAGTTGGTGGTGGAGAACAGGAGCCTGGGGTTGCCCTTCGCCTACAGGATTAAAAGCCACAAATCAACAATAAACAAGATAAACTATGGAACAATCGGAGGAAGAAACCTCGTGAAATAATCCTTTAACGTATAATTTATTGAAGAACAAGGTTTGCTGCATCAGTTTGCAGGCTTCAGACTCATGCCATGTGTCAGGGTGATTCAACCATTTAGATTGTTGAATAATATATCCAATTCGGCATTAATCTAATCTCTTTCGCTGAGAATAAAGGAGAACTTTTAGTTTGAATGTTGAGATGAAGTATTTATTCTTTTATCAACTTATTTTGTGTTGTATGTTTAGAAAGATTAGATTGCATAGTCTTTTACTAACTAGCACAAATGGGCTAACTAACAATCCCACCATGCTTGAATACCAAGGTTTTTTTTTCTTTTCCTCATTAGATCAATGTCCTTCAGTCCAAGCGAAGATCTGAGGTTTTGAAGTCAGTAAGTTACCTTTTGATTCTTAATGGTTTATTACAGACATAATTGCATCTGTTTTGGTTAGGATGATACATTTTTGCGTTGGAAAATTTTGAAGTTTAGTCAGTTATGATATGCTTATAGTTTTAATTTTAAATGAACCTCATTGAATCTGGTTTTATTAAGAATAGTTGGCTATCGAGCATTCATCTTCATTTTAAGAACTATTTCTCTACGATCCCCATTGCCAAAAATCTCATGAAATACTTTCAACCTCTTCCACAGTGGTACTTCTTAAACTACGGAATTATCATATTTTGCAAGACACAATAAAATACAAAATCGTATTTGTATAGCGGCTATATCACAAAAATCAGCATAAGAGGATTTCATTGCTCCATTGAGTCTGTAACACTATGTCGACATTTGTAGCACTTATTTTGATATCAGATTAGCACAGATGAGGAAACAAATCTGAAATCTTCCTAGTTTAATCATGGGCAGTATCTCAGTGCATATGAGATGTGTCTTCAAATGGATAAATGAAACTGGACTAAAAATAAAAATGGTGAGGTGGACATTTGACCTTCACTATTTTCTACAGCTGATGTCAAATATTTTCAAAATAAACATTGTGTACAATTTTTCTTTTTTGCTATTTTAGTTCTGGCAGTTCTAACACCAAATGAATTACCAATAAGCATTTTTGTCTCTTCCATCCAGATGTTGTCCTTTATGTATGCTCACCTAGCGTTCTTTCATCAAGGATATGATCTGTTCATGGAGCTGGAGCCGTACATGAAAGAGCTGGGAGCCCAGGTGAGATGGCGAGAATTGGCAGCAAACGTGCATTGTAGAAAGATCGGTTCTTTCATGAATGAATGAATTAATGAATGGGCAGATGGTTGAATATTCTTTGATCGTCGTTGGCGTTTGAGGAATATCTATGTGGAGCTTTCCCCCACGAGGACTGAACTCCACCAATGAGAGTATTGCCAGCAGAAGGGAGCAGAATGGCCCTAACTCATTCCATCGCTATCTCATTGGAGTGGCATAACTCACTTCTAAATCCTGCTGCAGCCTGTGCCCAAGGAGAGAACTGACAGCTCCATAGACTGCAGACCAACAAATCGAATTCATGGACAACCCTTATGATCCAAATTCATGATACCCTGTTCGCTGAGTGCTCAACCTGCTCAATAGCTGCGATAGCTATAACTGCTGAAATAAATGTAATTAGTTTTTCCTAGCGTTGCTGCCCGACACTTATCAATGGTCGTGTGTTTCCATTGTTCTCTGGCAAGTTTGGAAGATCCACAGTTCGATTAGCAGCAAATTATATTTTTGTTTTCAAATCATATTTCATCCCCCTGCAGTTTGCAGAGTTTTGTTTTAGCCTTTCCCTCCAAATTAAGAGACTGGCGATTATTATTTTTTTCCCCCTGCCTTTAGCCTGGAGTCTGAGGTTAGTTGTGAGCGTAACTCTGGCTGAAATTGGCTTGCTCTTACTTTTGCTGGATCTTATTGTTCTCTATTTCTTGTGAGCTTTCCGTCATTAGGTTATTATTAATGGGTTGGTCTTGAACGAGTTTAAGATAGCTTTGTCTCACAGCAAAATGCTGTATATTTTTAGTTTTGGCGCACGGTCATTGTTTGTGTGTTTGAGTGTAGTGTCACCAGACTGAATGTATTGACGTGGGTCAGTGTAACATGCCAGGTGAGATTAGTTTCTGATATTTCATTGTATTGTTTTTCACAGTGTAAATCTCCATTGAACATTTTTCTGTACAGAATAGATCTTTGCTTGGCTTTTGCACTGTTAAGAATTTGTTAATGATTAGAAGTGTGGAGGGAGAAATAAAATGTCACAGACTTGGTTCTGGAATTGTGGTTGCTTCTTGTTGCTCTTGGCTTCGAAATACATTGACTCTACAAACAGTTTGGAAGATACAGTGGTGAAAGAGTTAACATATTAGACCTGTATACTGAGCGAAATCTGTGTGACTGAAATATTTCAGTTAGAAAATGGCATCCGGTTTTCCTCACTGCTTTTCTCATCAGTTGAGTTACCCAGTCACTGCTTTCTCTTAATAGCCGTCAGGAACATGCAGTAACATTCCTTCACGCTAATTTTGTGCAATTCCATTTTTTATTGTCAAATACGAGGGCATTCTTTTCCAGATTTGATTATTTTTGCTGAATAACTTTCTGCAGTAAATGTTGCATAAAAGCTGAATCTCCTTAACATGAACCTTTCCTTTTCTGCAAGTTTGAAATAATTTCACGGAAGCTTGTGCCTCAGAATTTGTTGTAATAATTAGATTATCACAAGGTTTGCTTTTTTTTAAAAAAATTCAGAACGTGGAAATATTTAATCTATAAATAGTTACCTTACAATAAATCCTATGAAATGCTTTGAGATGTCCTCGGGATGTGAAAAGCTCTATCATACAATGCAAGGATTATTATAATGATTATTATACAAAGATGTATTTATTGAATAACCGAGGTCTATCCCTATAGCAGGAAAATGTACAATACCAATACAAGTAGCAGCACCAATACAATACTTGGTGATTTAAATAAGAAGAAAATATTCTCCATGTTAGTATGTGACTTCAATTTGTATACTCGTTGACAAGTATGTTAAGTATCAATCAAACTAATTTTTAATCCACTGAGAAGTAATGATATTTGGAAATTAAGAACCGTTGATAAGATGTTATTAATATTATAAGAATAATCCTTGCACTTGATATGGCACCTTTTATGTAGGGAAGACATCTAAAAGTATTATACTGCAAAGTGTATTATGTAGGCAACATAAAAGTCAATTTTACACAGAGCAATGCCTCCATAGTAACCATGAAATGAAATGACGAATTCTATTTGTGAGATTGTTGGCTAAGATACAGTTAGAAACTACCCTATCTTTCAAATTGCACCATGAGATCTTTAACGTCCACCTGAGCGGGCAAACAAGATCTCAGATTAATGTCTCATTCTAAAGGCACCTCCAACAATTCAGTGCACCCCGGCACTCTGGGCTCTGGGATGCTACCCTGAGTGAGGGGCGCTATATAAATGCAAGTTGTTGTTGTTATTGGCACGGCATTGTATTGGACTATGAGTTCAAAGTTGCAATTCGTCAAATTCATGGGGCAACCTTCTGGCTTGGAAGTGAGACAGCTTACCGATTAAACCAGGCTAAGTTGTACAGACTTTCCCTGGTGTTTATCAGAACTTTTGTGTACACTACTACGCAGGAAGTTCAACCAAGAGACTACTGACTACTGAGGGAATTTTACTCTTGGCTGTGGTATCACGAAGGGGAACTTCATAAACTATGATCAATGGAAATGTGACGCAGAATGCCAGTTCTGTTTTTATAGCTTGTAATAACTGATGTAGGAGAAAAAGGCCATGGGCACATTCCTCTCCCTATTAGCTATTAGAACTACATTTTAATGCCTTCAGACAAAAAGTTTCCCTTCAATCCAATCCACAATTCAAAATCTTTGTATTGGTAGCAAAGATTTAAAAAAAACTTTACAAACTGCTGAGTTAAAAATGCGACATTTCATAGCAGATTCAATGTGATCTGCATTTTTTGCCCCAGGTAAAATATTTAAAAAAATAAAAGGTCCCTTTTTAAACCTTTCATATCAGGCATGTACTGTACATTCTTTTACTATCTTTTTTGTTGAAGCTTTTTAAAAATATATAATTTTCGAAGTTAAAGACGAAAGAGAAGTAACTGGAAACTAATCTGCCACTGGAGTAGTTTAACCCAGTACTTTTTTCCAACAACAATGACAGGAAGAACAAATCTGAGAAGGAACTGAATCTATCAGTAGAGATTTCAGAAGTTCCGTGTGCACTTTATAAATAGTTTCCTTCAGATAATGACTGACTTTCATACACTCTGGAAGATGGTGGAGTTTCTCCCTCTGTCTTGACTAATGTGGCTCACGCCTGTGCACAAATTAGCTGCTGCCTTTGCCTAAATACAAAATATACAAATATACACTTTAAAGAATATCTTCCCAAATTGAAAAGGCACTATCCAAAATTCAGGGATTATTTAATATAAGAGTAGATTGTTTCTAGATTTTAACTTGATAATAATAATAATAATCCTTACCTTTGATATAGAGCCTCATCACATCTTTGAGACACCTCTTAAATGCTTCACAGAATTACATTTGTTACAAGATAGCATAAATTCATTGAATGTAAAATATGTGGCTTTTACAGAATACAAAAGCCTTATACAGCACTTACTGAAGAACAGATAAATTACGCCCACTGGGATACCCTTTTCCACAATCTAATTATCCCCTCAAAGACTTCCAGTGGATAATGGGAAGTGTGATCGTTTGCTTCTCAATCCACACTGATCCCTGCTTAAGGCCTTTCCTTTTACCTGTAAATGAATATTGGTGTCCTTATATAAATTTTCTCATATTTTCCAGACTAGAAATCATAACTAGGTTATACTTTCCATACTTGTGTGTGCTTTTTTTAAAAAAGGAATTCCTTTGTGATTCTCCCAGTAATCCACCTCATCTGTTGTGATGAGAAGCAGCCATTGATTTCCGATAGGAGATTGTTTATACTTTTACATCGTCCTTCCAGTTCCACATTGCATCAATCAGGGCTATAGCACACACTTTAGAGTTCAACACACAAGGTGCAAATTGTCTTATTGGCGAATTATATAAACTTTTAACTTCTATAATCGCAAAGCTGACAACTTCTTCTTACTGAACCGCTGATCTTAGTCATACTGATTCCTGGTATTTGTGTGGCAAACATCGTTCACAACCACTAAACCACCTTCAGGAAAACCATGTTGCTTAATTGTGCTGAAGTTATATTTAGTAAAATTTTAACCTAAACTGTAATTTCACAAAATGAACAGTGAGATTTTTATCCTCATAAAATGAAACTCTGCATAATCAACTTGATATCTCCTTTATTCTGTTGCTTATGGACACTACTTTGCTCTGCTAAAAATCAATGTGCCTTTCTGTGTAGTTTTAGATAAAGCTTGTGTGGGGGAAGTTGTCGGAAAATCCCATGTTGTGGATTTTTTTTTTTTACCACTCATTATAGTCACATTAACAGAAGGCTAAGTTAGTTTGCTACCAGTCACGAAAAATCAAGGAACAGCTCCCTGGAGATCAAAGCAATAGCGCACCTAACAAGCGGTCTGACTTGAAAGCTTTTGAATGAAACCAATGAAATTAGGAGAAAAATGTCTTTTGATTTGGAGATCCCAGTTCCAGGTGAGGAACTACAGCTTTCTGTGCTTCTAATTTTGTTTTCAATAAATGTCATGTTTTCAGTATTTATCAACTCATTGTTTGAGACATTTCTGTTTTCCGTTTTCTTTATTTAATCGGTATAAAACAAGACTATTAAACATTAATTGGGTCACAAATCCCCCATTGTTGGTATTGTTTAACAAAACAATAGTTTAACAAAAACAACCGAGAATATTGTTGATTTATACTTGCCTTGAATTTAAGAAATGGAGAAACGATCTTAAGAACTAGAAGTTTTGCTTAAAGTTTTCTCTCAGAAACTAATACTAGCTCCAGAGTATTACAACGCCTAATTTGAACCATCTCCAATATTTCAATTTGTAAATGGTTGAAATTGGTACCTATTTCAGGATTCAAGTACTGATCCATCCAGACAATTTGTAGCCAGCCTATCTGAATTCACACAAACTCTCAGCTGCCCAAGATGAACCATCATAAGTAAACTTAACTAAGAACTATTGGTAGATTTAAGCGCTCTGAGACGCTGTCTGGCGTGAAGGGCGCTATATGAATGCTAGTTGTTGTAGATGATTTATGGACTTTTCCTTCTGAATATATATCTGAAAGATGCTTTTTTTTCATTTAAGTTATGGTCGCATTTTCCTACATCGTTGTTGAAATCAGGAGGGTGTGGAAAATGAAATTGGTTTGTGGGTTTCATTCCAGTATGTGTTGGGAATGTTTTTTCAAACAAACTTGCATGGGATGTTTTGCAGTCTCTATATTTATGGAATTGTTGACTTGTGGGGGGAAAGATTATTTTTTGGCAATTTTTATAAAATTTTACATTTTGAACTTTCTAAATATCCATTCATTTTAAGTTCAATAATTAGATTTGTTCTTGAATATGTTTCTTTCCTCTGACTATTCTACTTCCTTTGTGATACTGAATTACAGGGGAATATTGTGGTTGAAATCGATGTCATAGTTTATGGTGCAGTGATGTCAATGTGGATAACCTAACACTGTTTGACGGAGGGATTTTTCTGTCAATTCCAAAGTCGAAAGAGATCTGAAAGAAAGTACATGTGGGTGTGAATGGGTATTATGTAACTCAGAAAATTCTTTGCTTCTACATGTTGGAGTTGTTGGGTTAAAACGCTGATAGATTACATAATCACTAATCTAGTAACTACTGTGCGCAATTGTCTGCTGCGTGTTGTTCACAAAACACACAGTAAATTCCTCTCCACTCTGCTTCCGCAGGGTTTTTTGGGTGAGATTATACATTCACAATAATATGAGGAATTTCAGATACCAACTATAATTTGTTCCTGTTTTCATTTTGCTTTCTTAAAACATAAACTTTTTACAAAATAGCAATAGAATTTCCAAATTATGCAAAAAATAAGAAATAAAATTCCAATTCAAAGGCTGCGTACCAATTTGTAATTTAATGTTCTATGTTCGTACATCTATTATGAATATCATAGAATCATAGAATCGTACAGCACAAAAAGAGGCCATTCGGCCCATCGAGTTTGTGCCGGCTCTTTGAATAGAGCAATTAATGTCAATCCCACTCCACAGCCTTTCCCCAAAACCCTGCAAAACCATCCTCCTCAAATACCTGTCCACCGTGTTTTTAAAAGTAGTTATCGAATCGGCCTCGACCGCCCTTTCAGGCAATGTGTTCCAGATTTGAACAACTCGTTGCGTGAAAAAATTTCTTCTCACCTCCCCTCTGCTTCTTTTAGAGACTATTTTGAATCTGTGACCTCGAGTCACCGACACAACCACCAGTGTAAACTGTTTTTCCCTTTCTAACCTATCAAATCCCCTCATGATTTTGAAGACCTCTATTAGGTCTCCTCGTAAACTTTTATATATTTCATATATATTTTATATATGGTTTCTTATATGCATGTTATATTCTGCAACATTCCGTGTTCAAAAAAATATTTGGATAAGCACGGAGACTTTTTTGGTATTAAATTATTAAGTACCTTCAGACTAGAAAATATGAGGAAAAATCTTGCAGGTGAACCGTTTTGCTTCCACTGCTTCTGTCTAATTGATGCAGCACAGCTTGGCATCAGCAGCAGCCTCTGCCACTGGTTATGTTGTGTCAGACATTCATAGCTGCTAACGCAGGCCGCTGTGGTTGAACATTGCAACCTTGGCCGGTCTACAACGTGCATGTACAATGATTACTGGTGATCCGATGCCGCACTCAAATTGTCAACTTGAGCTGCGCTATGTTTCTGAATTAATGATACTTAATGGATCCTTGTCCTCTGTGCATTCTCACTGTCAACTGGACCGCTTCGTAAACTACAGGAAAGAACTACTGACATTTTCCAGCAGAGGTGTGATCCTTCTTTGGCACTACAGAGGACAGATCAAGTACTAGGGATCTATAATGGCATCAGTGATTGGCATTTGCTGTCTTCATTACACCAGTTGTGTTAAGAAAATGGGACATGGTGCCCGTTTTCATTTTCTGGATTCCAGCCAATTCCAGCAGTCCTCAAGATGTTCTGAGATGCTGTGACGTTGTCTGCTGAAATGATTGAAATGCAATCTCCGCAAATCTTAATATTTATTACGCATAGCTTCGGTATTCAGCGCTATAAATATTGATAATCGTATGAAAAGAACAAGAAAGAAGATTAATATCTAGCTAGGTGGTTTTTAACATTGAATGACTGATTTCTTGTAATGGTTCAACAGCTGGATCAACTGGTTGTGGATGCAGCTAAAGAGAAGAGGGATATGGAGCAAAAACACTCTACGATTCAACAAAAGGTATGTGAACCCAAGTGAAGTCTTGTGTAATCATACCTACGCACAGCAAATTCATGTAATTGCATCTGTTGCCTTCATTAAAGGCTGGCATCATTCTCATAAATTATAATGCCCAGCAGTATTTTTGTCATAACCTACAGATTATTTGCGAAAATTGCTATTGAGTCCTATTCAATGAACTTGGAGTTGTTGTGTAACAATTGTTAACCCTTGGAGTAAATTATAGTTTAAAATCTGAAGTTTTTTAACAAAAAACGTGGAAAAGTTTAGACTAGATACAACAACTTGCATTTGTGTTGCGCTCTTCATATAGAATAAGGTCTCTGGGTGCTTTACATAGGTGGGTTGGTGGGGCGGATGCTGAGTTGGGTGGGGGGGGTGGGGGGAGAAAGAGATGACCATATACACGGTTGAAGAGATACAGACAAGTTGGACTCCAATGCCTTGGTTAATATAGTGAAGAGGTTATTTATATTTTACTACTAGGTACGACTTAGGCAGTTGATCAGTTAATGAATGATTTGCTCGGGGGGGAGGAGGCGGGAGGTGATGATGAAAGATAATGTGGGGCGGTTTCAAGAATTAATTGTTTTGATGAAGTTGGGGGTTGGTCAGAGTTGCAAGATACAAAGAGATTTTTGAAAATGAGATGGGCTAGATGGGCAACAATGTACTTCCCATTTCTGCATTTTCCAACTATTACAGGAATAAAGGCACTCCTGATTTAAAAACAATAGATTTGTGAATTTAATATTAAATGCATGAACAAGGAAAATGTTCCCTGATGGACACTGTCTTTCCCATTCGCTTGTTGGCTGTTTTGAGGGTTAATTGTTCAACGTGGGCATTCTTGTCCAATGTTGTTCTAGCAACTGCTATGCTGGCAGCTCCTGGCAAAACGGAATCAATCCAGCAATGTGATCTTGCAGCATGTATAATACAAGCAAACCTGGATTGATTTCAAGGTTGTACCCTTACCTGAGGCTTCAGGTAACAGTCATAAGCTACTCGAGCTTTGATAGTCTGTTTTGGTGTAATTTGAACACCCATCTGCACTCAGATCCTAGGTTTGCATCAATTTTTCTCAGTGTAATAAAAGTTCTTCACATTGTCCTCCCCACATGTTCATGTATATTTTTCAGTGGTGGGTGGGAGGGGTGGGGTGCTAATCATTGAGAGAGCTCTGGTCAATTTTTCCCTATTCTCCCTTCCTCCAACTAATTTAACTAGTTTAATTAGCTTAATAGCCAGTTTAATTAACGTGGTGCTCCCTGATCCTTTGGCACGGAAGCCCTTTCTTTTTTTTAAATGAAACACAGGCTTTCTTTTATTGAACAAATGTTACAATATTGGTTGTAAAATTCCTCTTCAGGATTCGATCTGTCCTGCCATGGGTTCCGAAACTGACTTGTACGCCTTACAAAGTCTTTATATCTTTGTTTTTAATGTAGTGCTTCCTCTCCCTGCATGTACTCCTCCATTCTTAGCTCTCCAATGCCACTGCAACTTCCTTCGTAATAGAAGCTTTGATGCTAAAAATAATCATATGCTGTTATCAGTGCAGTTAAAATATTTTAAATTGCCTTCAATTCTGTGCTCATTTCACAGCTAATGTTCGGTTGTCGAATGGGTTTTTCTTCTGTAAATCTCCCTTATCTCTATTTAGATTTTATCTGAGCAATCGTTCCTAACCGGTTTTCTTTCTTTCTCTTCCTGAACTGCTTACCTTAGGCTGCCCTCCAGGTAAGCAACTATATCTCTACTTATTTCTAATATTTTTTTTAAACAAAAATGATCTTCTTTCTTTGATTATCACCGATTAAACCTCTATTTTGCAGGCTTGAAAATATTAGTTCTCTAATATCTTGGAGAGAGACCTCACCAGACCAGCACATGTTAACTGGTCTATTGCACTTTGAGGGTTAAATCTTGTGCAATGAATTGTAGGCTACGGCAACTTTAGTCTTGTATAAATTCTAAGCTCCACCATATTATGAATGAGTACATTCATAACATGCCATTGGGGATGAGTACAGTATCACAATAATAATCCTTGCATTTGAAACAGTGCATTATCATTGAGATGTCTCAAAGCGCTTTACAGAATATACTGTAAAGTGAATTGACTGTGTATATATATGGGCCAAATGCGGCAGCCGATTGCACATAGTATGATGAATTAAAGTTCTATACCCCAACATGAATGCTGAACAGTATTGCATTGAAATTCTCTAAAGCTTTTTTTCCGACACCCCATACACCCGAGCTCAACTCTTGCTTAATGGAACAATCCCTGTTGATGTGAATTTCTGATTTCTCATGATGCCTGGCTTTTCAAGGACACATCTGAATCCATTTTAAAATTGGGAGTAAATATTTAATGTGAAGGTAGTCTGTCTAGCAGTTAAGGTAAATAACTAGAGGTACCAGAATCAAAAAAGATTAATTCAACTAAATATTTACAGTGCTGGTGTTTTTTTTTTAAAAAAGTATTATCAAACCAATTTATCTTTGATATTGTGGTTAGAACCCAGAACTTAATGTGAGATGCGCTATCACATCAGCTAGCTGACAGAGTGAAGGAGGAGCTTGTGGAGCACACTAGATCATTCCAATGATAACATGGGGACTTTAGCATCGTGGACACGAGAATCCACACCAATTGTCTATCTAATAAATAACTAAATTAGTTTGAGTCCAAAAACAATACTCTTGAGAGCTATACCACGCTTGCAAAGGAAAAGTTCCTTGCTTTTTCTAGGGTCCTGGGTGATTTTAAGGAAGCTTGTGTGTCAATGTAAAGCCCTTGCTCTGGGCTGTAAATTGCCAGTTTGTGTTGGAAGTACATTAAATTAACATTGGAGCAAAGAAAGACTGCATGATACAGAAAGGTGATTTTTACAGTCCTTTCTCAGAGACCATAAGAATGAGATTCTTCAGTAGATTTCATTATGTGTTGCACCTGGTAAGATTTGGCCTTTTTTTGCAGTTTGTGTGAATGGCTTTTTTTTAAAAAAGCTTAAAAGTGATTTTTGTTTTATTGATCTCCAGCTTAATCTGATCATGTTTGTTTGCTTGAACTCACTCCTGTGTTTTGTTTGCGATTATCTATACTTTGTTTGCTATTATCTATGTATACTTTGTAGTTATTAACTTTGACTCTGCCAGCAACTGAGAGTTGGAGACTTTTTTATTTGGATGATTTTCGTTCCATAAATGCTGTCACTTACACAGATCAATTTGTGGAATACTCTCAGTTGATCTACTCTACAGTCACAGCTGTTTCGCACAAATACATTTGCGCAGGAATGAAAGAAATAGCATTAAAATTAAACTGGATTAAGTTAAATTTACTAAATGGTGATTTTCGGCTTTTGTGCATCAATCTACTGATGAACAGTTAATGTGACATCAGGTGGATTCCTATTACATTCAGCAATGAGTCGTCTCTTGTTTGGTGCTATAATAATATTTACCATGTTCATTATCAGCTCTGATACTTTTGAGCTGCTTTGTTTTTATTTTAACACTGCCACATTACAGAGATGTAATGTAACGGGATAACAATCTAACCCTTTCCTAATTTCTAAACAGAAGTGTATTTAGTGTATTTAGTCTGTTTTTGCTAGTGGAAAGAAAGTTCTCTGGATGTGGAAGGAAGTATCTCTTGTGTTTCTGACCCTCTAGATCTTAGCTCATGTTACCTGGATATATTGCCAGACCTCTTTTTGATCCAACACATTAGCATGTGCTTACACATTTTGATCTCACAGCAAAAAAACTTAGTGCCAAGTGATCCTTCCTTTTAAGATCCATAAAATGTGTGTATATTTTTAAATGACATGGAGATATTATCTGCACAGATTGAACCAGTTACAAATTGAGAACTTCAAAAGCTGTAAATTTTTCTGTTCAGTTCAGATTAAATTTACATATAAATTTTTACCAGCGGTTATTAGGAATTTCTAGTTACCTCATTACTTGATAAATTCACTTTTTCTTAATCATGCTACCGTCAGTCTGACTCAGTAGCACCTTATACATGGTACACATATTTATTATTATGTTTTTGTATATTTCTTTCTCTTCCCTCCTACTCGCTACACTGTCACCTTTCCTGATCTCTAGTTAGTGCTTCATGATGTGCAGACTGTATATCAGCATTCTAACAAGATATTTGTTTTGAGCCAAAGGTATGGTAACATCCCTAGCAGGTTTTTAATGATAGATGAAGTGTATTATATTTCTGGAATACAAAAGGACCTGGAAATAATAATGAAGGAAAGGTTAGTATTAAATGGTATTGAACTGCAGGCACAATTTACCTCTTTTGGGGAAATCAGAGGGAAGTTTTAGAACTATATGGTAATTTTCTACCTTCTAATCACTCAAAATGGGAAATGAGCATCTGATTACGGATTTTTTTAAAAAAATTGACTTTTTTTTCAGTCCTATATATTCCTTTTCCTATGTTCAATTTGCTGGGCAGCAATAAAGCAGATTACTGCCCACCCCAATTACTACATTTATGCTCTCAATACTTTGAAGGCAGCTGCATGCGATTTTATTGTGGCGCTACATGATCTGCAAAGTAGATCAGATGCTGTAATAGAACTTGAATGATGGATTGAGCTGAAGGAGCTTTCCTTACCTTACAACAATCTTACAACAATGGAGTCCTGTAGCTCAGTGGTTAGAGCACTCGCTTTGCAAGTGAGAGACCTGAGTTCAATTCCAGGCAGAGGGCGAAACCTTGGGCAAGTTTCCTTACTCCACACAGAGCCTAATAATAATCCCTCCAAAACCAAAAACAATAATAAATTGGTAATTTTCAATCCATGACTATTTGTGGGACACTGCTGTGCGCAATTGGCTGCCACTTTCGCCCACAAATATACAGTCAATTCACTTTACAGTATATTCTGTGAAACGCTTTGGGACGTCTAGAAGACGTGAAAAGCGCTATATCAAATGCAAGGATTATTATATTATATATCATTTTTATAATCTCATGTTCCAAATAATTTTCTGTTTACAAATGAAGTCTAGTTAGTTAGATCAGTCAGAGAATTGTATTTTTTAAGAGATGGTACAGGAAGGGTGGGTTATTTCTCAGTAAGATTTTCTCTTCTTGCATGATCCTGACGTCAATCGGATCTTCTGCAATAAAAAGCTTCTGTAATCGTGTGGGCGGTAACCAGGATTTCACACTTGCTGCTAACATGTTATTTTGGGCTGACCAGATGGTATTTGAGACCCAAATGACTCGCAACAAAAAACAATTTTGACCTTTGCCAATGTCACTGTATAACTGGGCATTGGGAATGGGCCAAATTGACTCACTTGGTCTTACCTGCTCATCTTCTGCTAAAGCATCTCATGTCCTGTATCTCAGTGGTTAGAGCACTCACCTTGCAAGCGAGAGACCTGGGTTCGATTCGGGGCAGGGTGAAAAGTTGGAAAAGTTTCCTTACTCCGCATGCCTCTGTTTATCTAGCAGTAAGTAGGAACCCAGTTGTTAGTCGATTGGAGGATTGCTTTTCCAGGAGTTAAATAAATAAATAAATTGGTCACGCAATCCACGACTTTTTGAGGCACACTCTGTGCGCAATTGTTTGTCGCATTTTTCCCCACAAAATACACAGTCCGTTCACTTTACAGTATGTTCTGTGAAGCAGTTTGAGACGTCTTGAAGACATGATAAGGCGCTATATCAAATGCAAGGATTATTATTATGTAAACTGGGTGCCTTCTGTATTAGATCACTTGAGATTAGAAACTAATTACACACATTTTGGTACCAAGGCAATGCAAGGAACTGCATTGTCTGTGTAAACTCTTGCTGCATTAATATTGGTCCTACTATAGACACCTGAAGTTGTGCACTTACATTTTCTCCTCCCTATCCTTCTTTATTTTATATTTTTAAGCTTTTTTGGGATGGCCATGCCACCCACTTTATCAAGTTAACCTTTATTTTTTTTTGTAACTTTAACAGAAACCGAGTAATTGTATTGAGTTTGTTTTGTGGTTTCACACCTGGTTTTCTAGGACTTTTCCAATGATGATCCTAAGGTAGAATATAACATTGATGCTGCAAATGGCATTATCATGGAAGGGTATTTATACAAGCGAGCTAGCAATGCCTTCAAGACGTGGAACAGGTAAGAGACGACTGGGTTTCAGAATAGAGATTTTATTCTGCTGTAATTGTCTGATTACAAGGCAAAGAATGTGGGATTGATTTAAAATTATTGAACAGTATATTCCTTCGGGTTTGTCGCATGTTTTAGTTCACTAACTCGTATTAGCCAATTCAAACACGAGAACAGTTTTACACGATTGCAACTGTATGTTGACACAGGAATTGTGAAGCAAAACTAAATGTAATTGTGATTCACCAAGACCTGATCATTCTCCATGTAGAGTAAATCCATTTTGTCTTACATACAGTACATAATTTTACCACTCTACCACTATTTTTAAAATCTGGATCGTGGCAGAAATTGTTGAATATTGTATTGTTCATTAAAACTCTGCACTAAAACCTTTTCCTCATCCATCTGACAACCTTGTCAAAGAATTCCATTGGAATTGTGAAGCATAATCTATTGCTTTCAGATCCATGCTGTCTACTCTCTGGCCACTGTGCTTTTTAGATTTTTAGATAAACATTAACATCATTTTGTTTAATCCCCCCCCACCCAGGATTTCCTCCCTAATGTTGGGATAACTGTGTACAATTACCTGTGTTCATGTTTTGCTCCTTTGAATATTGGATAACGTTTGCAATCTCTGAGTTCTTGACACCTGCACCAGAGGATTCTGTCTTCTTAGCATTTAAATCCTCCAGGTTTTTGCAATACCTGCTGTAATGATGTCTCCTTGGGAAAAAGATTTCTGAGCCAAAATGACCAGCTGGAATTTGACCTCTGTCAACTCTATTCCAGCAATTCTGCCATCTCTTTATTTTCTATAATATCTCTTCACGCAGAGGGTACTGAGATTGTGGAAATCGCTGCATGAAGTCGTGGTTGAATCAGATAGTGTAGATACATTCAAGAGGAAGCTAGACCTTCACATGAGGGAGAAGCGTATGGAAAGGAATAGGTGGAGACTCGTGTGGAATATAAACGCTGGCTCAGACTGTTTGGGCTAAGTGGTCTGTTTCCATGCTGTACATTCTTTGGAATTCTCTCTAACTTCATTAAACCTTCTGTTGTCTGTTAACACAGCTAAAGAATTTCTATGCATCGCTGCTGTTTCCAATCTGATTTTGTATTGTCCATTAGCTCATTTCATATTCCTTTTAGTTCAACCTCAGTTAATGGTTTTGTTCAACTTTTTCTTGCATCAGATTGAAATATTTCTGTTCAATTGTTTTTGACTTTCATGTAGCCATTGTGCTCCAAGGCTTGATATATTTCTCGACTTTCACATGGGGTGCATTATTGTTCCACATCCCTTTAAAATTTTATTTTCTGGTTCGAGTTCCTGCTTAATCTTCTCTTGAGCTCCAGTATTTGCATTTCTGAACAGCACCTCTGTATTGTTACTTTTGATCTTAGCTTTAATACAGTATCAAATGTACATTGATCACTTGAGCCTTAGCTTTGGCCCGTTTCCTGGATTGCTAAACCCTTAATCTAATACAGCATTGTCCTGGGATTCTATTTTACGTGTTGTGTTATGAAAACAAATACTGTTTTCACTCATTCTGTCTGCTGTATCTTGTTGGCCTGCTTTAGCTGTGAAAAATTGGAATCTTTGGAGATTACCATGTTGCTATTACCTGTAGCCTTTCTTACCTGCCTGCATCTCTCTTGCTAGACTTGGATCTTGGGATCAATGGCAGTCACCAATTACTGTTATTACTAATTTCAACCCAGATTTCTCCTCCCGGACCTCCTGTTTCATTCACCCACACAAGGGCTGCTCTGCCTTTCATTGCCAATAATTCTATCCTCTGTCTGGCTTCGGAGATCAATCTTCTACCCTCTCAACTGCACTCCAATCCCCTTCTTCTGCTTTGTGCTATTTATTCACCATTTTAAAATAATATTTAGATATATACATATATATTTGTAAACAAAACCAAATCAACTAGTAAATGTATGAATCTACGTAATCCACTTACCTAAATTAGTACACGTGTACGGTCAGCCAGCTTTAGTTGAATGGGATCTTCGGCTGAGATGCTAAAACCAAGGTCCTCATTGACTATTCTAGTGGTTCACATTTATGCTAAATATCCTGTGACTTTATTTTGAATCAGAGTAGGAAGTTTTGTTCCACTTTTGTCAATCGTCCTCCCTGATGCCAATTCACGAAGACAATGCAATTGTGCGTTTGTGATTGAGGCATTTTTCCAGCACACTGGAAGTAGTTGGACATTAATTTGCAAAAGACGTAGGGATCAAAAATCAATCCAATCAGGTAGGAGAAAAATAGGCCGAAAGTTAAAGGAGAGAATGTGTAAACTGTGGAGAAAACCGACTCGAAAGGCCAAATGGCCTTTTCTCATTCTGTGTTTCATAGTTTTATCCTCTTGTCTCCTTTGAAAACATGGTGAGATCTGTCTATGCAATGGGCTGTATAGCTGTAAACATTTTGGACCAGTTTATGGACTCCTAGGTTTCAACTTCCTTCTTGGAAAACATTGATCTGAGATGAAACAATGCAAAAGAAAATGTAAAATTTGCTCTATGCAAGTTTTTCTTCTTGCCCATAACAATGCTTTAAGCTTCCAGCATGCCAAATTATAGGTGCAAAATGCACATTTCAGAAGTATTGCTGCTATACACCCGATGATGTAAGCTTCATTAGGTTAGTATGTTAGATTAGTGCTGCTTTAAATCTTTTGCGCAGTGCTTTTATATTTCAGTGGTGATTTGGGTATGCTTCTAAGGCAATTTGATTACTTGTTCAATAATAGCCACAGCATTTATGCCCTATAAGGTGGATTTTATAATCTTGACTTAATGTTTCTTTACTATGTAATGTACCACCAAATCTAGTGATGCAATCTTAACACAATTGTTATTTTCCACAAAATAATCATCTTAATTTTCAGGTTGTTCTTCAGTCAGGCCCTTTGTTGACATCTCATTTTCCATCCCCACCTCTTCTTTGCACCCTCCCCCCAAATCTTGGCTGACCCTCCCTCCTATCTCCCACCCATCATCCCCCCCCCCCCACCCCGTCCTATCTGAAGGCAGGCAATCAACGAACAAATATTGCAGCTATCTGTGCCTTTCATAAGAAATGAAATGGTCTGTAGGATATGCACCATTTAAAGCCTCTTTTTGCCTCCAATCCATGGGATCTTCGTTTGACGTTTCAGCATGTTGTCCTTTTTGCTCATGTAAATCCTGTAATATTGAGGACGGAAGACGTAACTTTTGTCGTCAACTTAGCCTTTTACACTGAGCCAAAGAGCCAGTATCACAAGAGCCAATATTCCAGAGCTGCTTGTTCACTTCTTGAAGCCAATGCTGTTTGCAATCAATGTTAGGCCAGTAAGATGCCTTCAAGAGCAGCCTTATTCTCATTTTCAAAATCTGCTCGCCTTCTTGTAGATCTTTTAGAAGTAGAAGTATGTGAACTCTCGCGCCAAAAGGAAGCGGCCTATAAACTCATAATATAAACATGCACACTCACACCACACATATGCCCTCACCTTTAACTCCCTCCTTCATAATCCACAATTCCTTTGATTTGCTCGGAATGAAAACTGATATTGAATTGTGAAGTTTTAAAACGAGTAGAAGAACACAAGAAACCACAGGGTTAACATACACAAATCTTTCGAAGTTGCAGGCCAGCAACAACTTGCATTTATATTTCGCCCTTCACGCGGGGCAGCATCTCTGAGCGCTTGAAGGCAAATTGACGAGCTGTTTCTGATCGAAGTCGTACATTTAAGATCATGACCGAAAAAAAAAACGAGTCAGAGAAATAATTATGTGGATTTATTATTGGACAGGGAATGTCTCAGTCACAAAAATCGTGACTGAACTAGAATCCATTATTAGCGTTTAAAAGAGAATTTGAGAAATATTGATAATTAGATAAATATTGTGTTTGCAAGTCGTGCAGTCTGTGCTTTTTTTATTTTTTGCCATTTTCATTCATTTTTTTTCTCTTTTTTTCCTCTTTGTGTGTGTTCCGATCCCACCCCCATTTTGTCACATGACAGGAAAAAGACTGCCCACATCAGGTACCAAAGATTGAGCTGGACATCTTGTTCTCCCCTTCCTTTCCTCTGCATATTAGTTCTCATCTGCCTGCAAGTTTAAGTACAGAACCGTGGGTAAAGCTGGTTTGACCCAGCAATTCTAACCTGTGATCAATGTATTATTTTTCTCTTACAGCATGGGGGACTGGGTTACCTGCAAACCAGCCATACCATTCACTGCCTGTTTTGCCTTTTATTCACATTAACCTTACTAATATCCATCTTTAGTAACTAGCTGCACATTTTACTTCACATTCTAACTGTGCAATAGACTAATGGTTTAATAACGTCAGCTTGGCTCGATTGGTGGCACTCACTCTCACCTCTGGGTCTGAAGGTTGTGGGTTAAAAATCAACGTCAAAACTTGAGCCCATTTGCTGACACTCCAATGCAATCCCCTGTTGTTTAAGGTGCCACCTATCAGATGATATGTTAAACTGAGGTCCCGTTTGCCTGTTCAGGTGGATGTTAAAGATCTTGTGACACTATTTGAAAAGAGGAGGGATTTTGTCCAACAATCCTTCTTGCAAGCCAGTCAGTCACTTTGTGGCTGTTTGTGGGACCTTGCTACATACAAACTGGATGATGTATTTGCCTGCAGAAAGATTCACTGCACTTAACAGTAATGACTTGTAATGTGTCTGGAGATGTTTTATTGTTTGTTGGTGCTATTTCAACTGCAAAGATTATATTGCAGTTGAAATAGCAATATTGCCGTTCACTGAAATTATTTTTTCTTTTGATAAATTTAACTTGCACTCTCCTAGATGTATTGCATTTCTGTGTATTAATTGTTGATACAAACTCTAAAGTTATTTAGGTTATAATATTTGTATGTCCTTTCATGGTGATATTTTATGCAGTGTTGTAATACTGTGTTTTTATTATTTTAATTACTATCTCTTTTATAATAATTTAGCTACAGTCCAGTTACTGTGAGGTAGAGGGATATCATGGAAAGGTTTTTTTATGATTTAAATCATAGTTTTTTAAAAAAAAAATCATTTTAAGAGCTCTTTGATTCCCATGCAGCGCGAATCCTTAGACAAGTTTCCTTACTCCACAAGCCTCTATTTACCTAACAGTAAATTAGAACCCGGTTGTTAGTCGATTGGCGGATTGCTTTTCTGGGGGTAATAATCCCTTCAAAATCTAATAATAATTTGATCATTCGATCCTCGACTGTGAAAAGGCGCTATGTCAAGCTCAAGGATTATTATTATTTACTGATCTGTTTAAAGGTTCGATAACTTTAATATTACTTGTGGGTAGGGGGGGAAGTGGAAGAATATTTAAATTTTTGATATAGATGCTAGGTTTACGTTCATCTGTAATTTTGGTTTTCTTTAATTCTGAGAGTTCAAACTAACATTTTTGGCATGGTTTGATGGTTTGAAGTGATTGCAGTCTGTTTAAAAAGATCCACTCCCAGACTCCTCTGGAGTTCCCAATTTCTCCTGTTAATATTGTATTGTAAGCATCAGGATATTGTCTCTTACATACGGATCGAAGGCCAATCATTCCCAAGGTATTCTTGTTACCTCAAGTTACGTTCATCTTGAGAGTGCTATTAATGGAGGCCACAGAAGCAACTCAACTATCAGTCCATCTGTGTCATTCCTTGGCTGGGAAATAATATATGATGGAGGGTAGTGTGGGGGGGGGTTACAGAAATGCAAATAAAAAAGAGAAAGGATTTTATTTTTATTGCAAAATTACAAACTGAACATTGATTGTATTTCAACCCTTTAACTCTCAGCGGCTACCAGAAAGTTAATTTCTCCCTGGGCCACCTTTTTTTTGTACGTTTTTTGCGCTCACTTTGACCCTGAACTGAATATAACGCTGACATTTCAGTGGTAAAATTATCCGAACATTAGAAATAACTTCATAGTTGTGCCGTATTAACCCACATCAAAACTGCAGTTTTAAATCGAAATTGTTTTTCAGTGATTTAATTCTGCTTTCATCCCTTGTTCTTTCCTCTTTTTTTCCACCAGTTAGTTTTACTTTTTTTTTCTAACTGAGTTAACTCTTCTAACCGTTTTCCATTTTTTTTAAAAAAGGTTAAATGTGATGTCCATTCATTCTCCCGCATCTTGGCTCCTGCCTTCCATTTTGTTTTGGAGGCGTGAGTGGGTTTGAGTACAGAATTGCCAATTCATTGATTGCCAAACATGCTCCAGAGACCAGTTAAATGGCAACATGGTCGGGTCCTGGACATGGCAATGTCATTCTTTATTGCAGGAAGAATTGACTCATTGTCACTTCCAAGAACTATTCTTTGATGGATGAGTAAACTTGTCTATTTGTGCACAGTGACTTCAATTTAGTCAAAAGTCATATGTTTAATTACGCTTCACACCACATTGTATATTTTTATAGTGCAACTGTTAACAAATTGGGAAGTAATTGGGTGTGGGGAAACTGGAATAATGCTTTCATATCATCAGATTTTTTTTTATTTGTTTTACAACGTTACTTAGTTTCCTAAACCACATGTTTTTCTCCCCTTTGTAGGCGTTGGTTTTCAATTCAAAACAACCAGCTTGTTTACCAGAAGAAATTTAAGGTGAGCAAATAGTCTTAGGAATCGTGCACTGGATATAAGTGTTTTTGCAGCAAACTTCCATTATATTAATAATAATAATCCTTACATTTGGTATAGCGCCTTTCACATCAGGGTGCCTCAAAGTGCTTGATTGAATATACTGTAACATGACTGTGTTTTGTTGGTACACCTGGATACATTGGAGTAATGGCAGAAAACCTAAACCCGAAATAAAAAAGAAATATCATAAACATTACTTGATGCCATGAACGAAGGCGAAACAGTAATATAATTTTGGGGCTCAGGTGATGCTTCTGAAACTCTAGGACTTTGTCCTTTCTGTTTTATGGCATAGTTTGACCACATAATTCCGTGTTTCAGATGAGATGTTAAATCGGGGTCCCAGTTTGTTAAAAGATCCCCTGGCGCTATTTGAAAAGGAAGGAAGTTTCTCCCGGTGCCTGAGCCAACAATCCTCTGGATAAAACTAGTCATTCAATCTCGTGGCTGTTTGTGGGTCCTGCTGAGTGCAAATTGACTGCTGGTTTAACAGTCACTACACTTTAGAGTAAATCAGGTTATGTTCTATGAGATGTTTTGATGCTGTGAAGAAGCGCTAATTCAAATACGAGGATTATTTTTGCGATATTGACCTGTGTTCCCATATTTTGAAGTAATGTAGAATAAAAATTCTTCCCATCACTGGATTAACATTTTCTAATTGCTCCTGGTTATGCAATATTCAAAATTAGTACAGTTTATATCTGAATTTGACTATTTGAATACAGCCATGTTAAGATGTAATTTGTTTTCCCTCCTCACTACTTCTTCACAGGACAATCTCACAGTGGTAGTTGATGACCTACGCCTTTGCACAGTCAAACCATGTGAGGATATTGAAAGGAGGTTCTGTTTTGAAGTTGTCTCCCCTACAAAGTAGGTGTCAAAGCATTTTGCCCCAATAAGAGAAATATTAATGGCTCAAAATGTATTCTTTATCTGCACATTATCTTTCATAAGACTGAACTGTCTGATTTTAGTCCTGTGATGTTGTGAGGTGCCCTCATGTGGTAACCGAGGAAAGAACATGCGCTTTTGTTTTGTTTCCTCATTTTTGTTCCGAAACTATTTTGAGTGATCGTAAAACTTGTAATACACCATGAAGTCCATTTTATTTATCCATTATAAGTTAGACAACTTGATTTGACCTGCTAAATTAACGTATTTGGTCTCTCAATCCACGACTGCTTGTGGGATACAATTGGCTGCTGTGTTCCGCCCAAGTACAGTCAATTCACTTTAACAGTATATTCTATGTAGAGACATTGAAGTTTAATTGAATCGAAATTTAATTGAATGTCATTATTAGTTAGCTACCAGTCTGTATGAAGGGTTTAATCTTCGATCCTGTTCACACTTCCAGGAGCTGCATGCTGCAGGCAGATTCCGAAAAAATCCGACAAGTCTGGATCAAGGCTGTGCAAGCAAGCATAGCGACAGCATATAAGGAGAAAGGAGAAGAGAACTATGCAGATGTTCGTATCCGTTGAACGTATTTTACATCTTAAAACCGCGAGCCTAATCTACCGCCTTTAACCAGTGGTTTATGAAGCCAAGCACTGAGTGTTTGCAAACCCTAGCAAACATGCATTTGGGGTATAATATGTGATGAGGGGGAGAAATTCAGCTTCAGTTTTTGTTCAAAATTATCTCTCTATAGAACAAAGACAATTGATGCTGTTTTCCATGCGGGCTTTTAAAATTCATGATTTAGTGCTTTTTCCTAAAATGGAACAAAGGCCTCATTTTAAAAGGTTATAAATCCTGTAACGAAGTTGAATCGATTCTGTCTCCTCGGTGAGAGGGTGGAGGAGGAACTCACAGTCATTCATTGCTCCCTTTTAGAATCTCAAAGAGATAGAACCTTCTTATGCTCACTGGGGAGATTTGCATGTAATGAATGGGACACTGGGGCCAAGGTATCAGCCCAACCAGTGCACCTAACATTAGTTGTCGCCTTCAAGCAAATGGTATTGAGGTGGTGAATATCATTAAGTTATACATTGAGTTATACATTTGACACTTGCGTTTTGAAAGAAGAAAACAGCAGCAAAACCTCTTGTCTGCTTCTGCAGAGATTAGACAGACGATCCTCGCCCTCCACCAGCAGCCTGGACTCTGGGAGTGAATTGAAGGAGCGGCCGTTGAAAGGAGAGAATGCACTTCAGAGGGTGGAGTGTATCGCTGGCAATGGAAACTGCTGTGATTGTGGCGAGTCAGATCCACGGTGGGCAAGCATTAACATCGGGATTACACTCTGCATCGAGTGTTCAGGAATTCACAGGTAGCGTCACGAGAACACGGACTTGCATTTGCCAATGTCGTCACATTTTGGTGTGCTATTCTATAGCATAGTATATTCTATAGGTTCTATCTTCCTCGTTCATTGTGGTTTCTGTTGAAGCGTAATGTGGGTGGATAGATTTCAGAGATCTCAGTTGGTCTAACAGTGCTGTTGGGCTAACATTTAGAGACCCAGGCAATTTCAAAATATTAATCTTTATTAAAAATATGATGTGTATATACATGCACACACTGGTTTGGTGCCTGTAAAAAGGTTAGCTTGGTTTTAAACTGTGATAAGTTTTCTGATCTGTGAGATTTGGTTCTCAACTGGACCAATAGATGGAGCAATTCACAGCACTGAAGAGCAAACGTTTTGAGAGGAAAAGCTAGCAGAATCTTTTCTGCCTGTATAAATGTATGTACCTGATTGTGGGGTTGCATTGATGCCTTTTAACACAACGTCCCTGATCCAGACCACCTTACCTTCTCAGGTAGAAGTGCCAACTGGGTAGAGAAATGCTATAGAACCTGCTCATTTTTCTCAGACTTGTGTGTCCATCTTACCATCCATGTTAAATATCTGCATGAACAAGTACGTTGTTCTGTGTTCTGTGCTACAATTATATTTGTTCTTTTGTATACAGAAGTCTTGGTGTCCATTTTTCTAAAGTTCGGTCCCTGACACTGGATTCATGGGAACCTGAGCTTTTAAAGGTGAGTTTGCCTTTTTTAATCTACAAAATAAAACATACTGGCAAGTACTTGTGCATGATGTACAAGTCTTTATTATGCTGACCGTTTATGTAGCAAAATAGCTTCAAGTTTAATATTAAGCTAAACACAAATGCTCTTAGTCGCTGGTATTAACTTAGAAATTAGCACCCAAAATGAATATTTGCATGTTAATATGTAAATTTGCAACTTCAACCTCCACTTCACCCCTCCTGCTCTATCTCTGCCGACTTCTCCTCTCTTCCCTCAACCTCTCCCTCCTCATCCACTCCCCCACCCACGTCCGTGGCCACCCCCTTGACCTGGTGATCACCCAGGGCTTCTTCGTCTTGGACATCATCATCGTCGATAAAGCCATCTCGCCACCACTTCATCTCCTTCAACACCTCAGTACCCCTTTCCCCTTCCCAACCCTCCACCATTACATACTGTCCATGGAAAAAAAAAAATCCTCCCTCTCCACTGCCCTGGAGTCATCTGACTCCTACACCTCTGCCCCTCACTGACCAATCACCCCTCCTCACTTTCCTTTCTCCACAACTCCCTCTCCTCCATTCTGGACTCCCTTGCCCCCCTCACCTCCCGAACTGCCTCATACTCCTGTAAATCCTCCTGGTACACCAGCCATCTCCGTTCTTTCAAGGCACAAGTGAGAGCTGCGAATGCGCCCGGACCAAATCCAAACTAAAGGTCCATTGGCAGATTTGGCTTCACCACACCAAGATCTACCGCTGCGCTCTTGCCTCCGCCAAATCCTCCTTCTACTCCAAGATTATCTTGGAGGCAAAGGAGATTCCCCGGCTTCTCTTTTCCACCACTAACCGTCTCCTCCATCCACCTTCCCATACCTCGCCCATCCTCTCCTCAAACTCCAGCTGTGAGGAGATGCTGGACTTCCTCGAATCTAAAATCGAAGGGATACGTTCAGCCACCTCAGCCCCATCCACAGCCACCCCCACATCACCTCTCCCTCATGACCCACCCCCACCTATACTCCTTCGAGCTTATCTCACCCTCCTCCCTCACCACGACTGTCTGCAAACTCAAACCCACCACCTGCTCCCTCGATCCCATCCCCACCTCTCTCCTCGTCTCCCAGCTCCATCTTGTGGCTCCCCTCCTGTCCGATGTCATCAACCTCTCCCTGTCCACCAGTTCAGTTCTCATCCCCCTAAAAACAACCGTCATCACCCGCATCCTGAAAAAACCTTCCCCCGATCCATCCCTCCTCTCCAGCTACCACCTCATCTCTAACCTCCCATTCCTCTCCAAAGTCTTGGAACGAGTCATCGCATCCCAGCTCCGCCCCTTCCTCTCTCGCTATTCCCTCTTTGAACCCCTCCAATCCAGCTTCTGCGCTGCCCACAGCGCGGAAACATCCCTGGTCAAAGTCACTAATGACATTCTGAACATCTGTGATCAGGGCTCCCTCTGCCTCCTTGTCCTCCTCGACCTCTCTGCCGCCTTCGACACTGTCGACCACTCCATCCTCATACACCGGCTCTCCGTTTTACTCAGTCTTCACGGACCTGCCCTCGCCTGGTTCGATTCCTATCTCTCTCACCGTCTTCACTTTGTTGCCTCTAACGGTTTCTTCTCCAGCCCCCGCACTGTCACGTCTGACGTCCCCCAGGGCTCTGTCCTCTTTAATATCTACATGCTCCCCCTTGGTGACATCATCCGCAGACATGGCGTCAACTTCCACATGTGTGCGGATGACACCCAACTCTATCTTTCTGCCTTCACCCTCAACTCCAGGACCACTGCTGTCCTGACAGACCGCCTGTCAGACACATCAAGTCCTGGATGAGGGCAAATTTCCTACAGTTGAATGTGAATAAGACTGAGGCCCTCCTGATTAGCTCGCGCCAGCGCCTCAGCACCTCAGGCTCTGGCAACATCAACCTCCATGGTTGCACACTCACCAAGCCAGTCAGGAACATAGGTGTCTTGTCGACTCTCAACTGTCTTCTCCCCCACATTCAAGACATGACCCACTCTGCCTTCCCTCACCTCCGTAACATCACCCGACTCCGCCATTACCTCACCCCTCAGGCCGCTGAAACTCTTCTTCATGCCTTCATCACCTCCAGGCTCAACTATGCAAATGCCCTGCTTGTCGGCCTTCCCAACTCCTCCCTCCACAGGCTGCAGATAATCCAGAACGCTGCAGCCTGTGTCCTCTCCCACACCAAACTCCGTGACCCCATCTCCCCACTCTTGCCCGACTCCACTCCCTATCCTTCAGAGGATCCTCACCTACAAAGCCCTCCATGGCCTCGCCTCACCCCACCCTACCTCTGCGACCTCCTAACCCCCTACCAACCCACCCGGTCCCTTCGTTCAGCCGGCTCTGATCTGCTCCACGTCCCCCGACCCACCCGCCCCGGGTGAGCCTTCAGCCACTCTGCCCCCAACCTCTGGAATTCCAGCCCCCAGTCACTCCGTCTCGCCCTCTCCTTAGCCTCCTTCAAGTCCTACCTCAAGACCCTCCTCTTCGACCATACCATCGGCCACACCCCCTTCCCCATCCTTCTCCGCCCCTGACCCCAGCGCTCGGGTCTGAAACGCTGTACACTGTCCAGCACCTTGGGACGTCCTCCCGACGTGAAAGGCGCTATACAAATGTAATCTTGTTGTTGTAAATTAAAGTAGCTTAGAGTTTCCTCAACATTGTTGGAGGATTTCTCTCAGGAGATAAATTAATTGATGAATGTTTAACACTGCTGTTTGTTCTGCAGCATCGATTCCACTTGCAGAGATGGGGAGTAAGGTGCTATGTACACACAGAAGTGACCTAGTGACTGTCAGTACGGTATCATGTACATCTAAGAATTAAAGTTTGATTGTGCTCTCACTGTTTGACAGGTTATGTGTGAACTGGGAAATAATGTTATCAACAGAATATATGAAGCAGGTGTGGAAGAATTGCATCTTAAAAAGCCACAACCTGGAAATACAAGGTAACTTCCTGAGGTTTAATGTAAAGTAAGTTTTTGTCAAGGTTTGAGTCTGTTACGCGTCACTATTTACATATTTATTAATTACCTGCTGATTGCAAATTTTTTTTGATGAATTGGTAGCTTTAGAGGTGGATTAAATAATGATCTGAATGGTGTATTTATACCTGAAGTATTTTAATTTTGCATTACGTCAGGGTGGAGAAGGAAACGTGGATCAAAGCCAAGTATGTCGACAAGAAGTTTGTACAGAAAGCCGACAAGGTTTATTCTCCATCAGAAAGGCGAACAAAGGTAACCTCTCCACCGCACAACCAACAGAATGAGCTTGGGATTTCGTGTGAAGTATCAGCCAAATCTCTACCAAAACCTGCAAACGCTTCCAAAACTCCAGGTATTAGGCCCTCTGTGATGCATTTAATACCCTGTCAAAATGTTTGTTTGCAAAATGTACTAATACTAAAAGTATCAATACATCAATAATATGTAAATTTCCTTCTTTGAATGTCGTGAAAATAAACTTGGTATCGTAGAGTCGCCATTGGTTAAATGTACATACTACGTCTTAAACATTAATTCTTCCGAGCTCTGTAATTCTCTTCAGACTGTTACTACTAACTTACCTGCCTTTTGATGTTCTTCCATGTATTTTTTTTTCTTTGAATTTCTCTCAAAAAAAACCTTCTCCTCTGTTTCCCTCTTTGCTTCAATGGCTGCTTTGCTTTGCTAACATGCATGTAACCAGCTACTGTTAGTAACAGTGAGCAACGTCGGGAGTCTCTCTTCTGCCCAGATGAGCTAGACTCACTATTCTCCTACTTTGACACCTCTTCAAAGCCCAATAGTAGTAAGTACCGCAAATGTGGAGCTTCTAAGTGCCTGTGCTGTTCAGTTCATCCAATGTTTGATCCTACTTTCCTGGTGTAACTGGGGTCCATTTGTTTTTGTGGTTCAGAGTTCCTATCATTTTTTAAGCCATTATTAATTTCTGTGACATTTTCAATTGTGCATTTGAATGTTTTCACCCCTCCTTCACCTTATTTATGATCCTTGTCATTTGATGAACTACGTTAGAAAGTCGCAGACTAAGTGGCAGCTCGCACGAGTGTCTTCTGTAGTTGATGTCTGTTTTAGAACAGTATGTGGCTGTTTGATTTTATATCATGTGTGTTTTTGCTTTGCTTCACTGTAAGCCTTATTGCACCATGAACGAGGCACTCTGTGCTTTCGTCTTGTAATAGTCCAATAGCATCACGATAAAAAGCCAGTTTTTATTGTACACTTATACACATAGGGTTGGGAGCTGCTGTATAAACCAGTCGATTTATCGCACTGATGTATCGCAATTGACGATAATCAGTTGATTGAACAGCACTCAGAGAAACAATACAACAACTTATGTGCACTAATGAAGCGCCTATCACATAGGGTAGCTTCTCGGAAACGCTTTGAGACATTATCCTGCGTGAAAAGCACTCCATTAAATCAGTTAATTGAATAAAACTCGGAGAAACAAAAGTACCCGTAGTCTGATACTGATTGCTCCAATTGTACATTTGGAGCTCAGTTGGACTATTCTTGGACTATCTGGTAAGTGATGAACAATTTTGATCAAAAGAGTATTTGTATAGAATATGGTAAAAACTTGCATTCTGTGGGTTGATTTAAAAGAAAAGGCTTCACTGTTGCACCAAATGGAGACTTTTTGTGTCGCAAATCTAACTGTTGTATTGTTAACATTTCTGTGTGAAACTAATCAAGATTCCCTTGTAATGCATCAGTCTTGTTCATGGATGTCATGCTTTTAGTTCCTACTAAAACGAGAAGACTTTGAAAGGTTTGGAAACAAGTACATCATACTTTTTTCATTTATTCAAGCTGTGAAAAGTGCTGATGGTGGTGCCCCTAACAGCTCTGAGAACAAGAGGCATGCAGTCGTATCCACCCCTGTAAACAACAGTGCATCTGAACCAGGTTAGTAACATACTCCGGGTCAAATATAAAAGTTGCACAAGTTCTCATAGTTACAAGATAGATGCACATGTTTTATTTCCATGCCCTTACTGAAAATATCCAATTTCTTTTAGGTAATAATTTACCCATGTTTGAATCTGAACAGTTTAGCCATTGACTGTAGAACTATTGATTTATAATAATAATCCTTGTATTTGATATAGCGCCTAATATCGCCGTAGAGACGTGTCAAAGTGCTTCACAGAATATACTGTAAAGTGAATTTACTGTATTTTGTGAGCGAAATGCGGCAGCCAAATTGTGTACAGCAGTGTTCCACAAACAGTCGTGGATTGAGTGACCAAATAATAATAATGTTTATTTATATATTTGAGTCAAGTACAAATACTAAATCTTATGTATTTAAAATACTGACTGGATGTTTTAAGGTGATGTGACTATAACTAGTTACACTTCAATTATGGTCTGTTTGTGAATAAAAATAAGTGCAAAGTGTATGTTTTGTTTGCTTCCTTAGAAATGCTGGAAGGGTCCATTAAAAACGGCACCAATAAGAACTCGCCCGTCTTAAACAAAGTGGACATTGCTTCTCCAGGATTGCAACTGTATAAAGCAGCTTGCATCCGAAACCTTCCAGACATGGCAAAGGCTTTAGCCCGCGGAGCTGACGTGAACTGGGTTAATGTGGAAGATTATAAAGCAACTCCTCTTATTCAGGCTGTGTTGGGGGTAGGTTTGCTGTATAGACTTCCCCCTTGAGAATAGAAAGTACCATTGGGAAGGGTGGAGGCGTGGGGGTGGGGGGATCTTGATTGGTAACTTATCTGTAATGAAATTCAAGCAGCTTGAAAGTGCGAGAGGTGAAATATTTCTGAAAAAGAATGACGCAGGAATTATCTACCCATTGCCTCTGTGCTGGGTGAAGGCAAATCTGTGGTAGCAAATAGGGGCAGAAAGAATGCATCAGTTGTGAAGATAATTATTTCAAAAATTTACATTCGACTCTCCGTGGACTTGTGTGTCTGTTTGGATCTTGAAGCTGTTATCTTTTATTGCAGGGCTCTTTGGTTGCGTGTGAATTTCTGCTGCAGAACGGGGCAAATGTGAACAGCCGAGACTCTCACGGTAGAGGGCCGCTACATCACGCCACCATCTTGGGACACACTGGGTAACGAACCATGTTTGGCGTGAGATTGCTTTTGCTTTCATTCTGCACCTTCCTCCGTAATTGTCCCAACCTCTCTGAAGCTTTTCCCTGATCTCCGTTCCCTGAGAGAGTAAATGGGTTGGATATAGTCTGGTGGATTTCTGTGGATTTTCAAGCGCTCCTGTGAAGAGAAGTTGGAATATTGCTGTGTGCAGATTGGCTGCTGCAATCACCCACAACCCCCATCCAAACAAAAAAGGTCACCTTACAGTAAATCCTGCTAAGTGTTTTGAGACTCCTACTGAAGTGAAAGCTGCCATACCAAACGTAGGGATTATTAGTATAAGAAGCAATCTACCCAGTACATTCAGAGAGCACAGTATCTAATCTGGGATCCAGCAATGTGTGGGCTGGTGCATCATGCAGTTACATTGACTTAACCTGATGTTTTTGGAAATGGTAGTCAATCAAAAAGTGGAATCCTGCAGCGTATTGGTTAGAGCACTTTCCTCGCTCGTGACAGGACCTGGGTTTGATTCCCTGGGTGAAACCTTTGGGAAGTTTCCTCACTCCACACACTTCTTTCAGTGCCTTGGGACGTCCTCCCGATGTGAAAGGTGCTATCCAAATGTAATTTCTTGTTCTTGGTTACCCAGCAGTAAATAGGAACCCAGTTGTTAATCGATTGGCAGTTTGCTTTCCGGGGTAATAATCCCTTCAAAAAAAAACGAATAATAACAATTTGGTCAATCAATCCACAGTGTTTGTGCTTATGCTGTGCATAATTGGCTGCCGCATTTCTCCCACAAAATATACAGCTAAGGCGCTATATCAAAGGACTATTATAAAGTGTGAATTTTTGTGGCAGTTTAAATTACCCCTTAATTATTTTACTGAAATTACGTGCGTTTAATTTGCAAATCCAATGATTGCGATGTTTGTGTGCTTACTTACCTCAGGCAAGTGTGTTTATTTCTGAAGCGAGGAGCCAATCAGCAAGCATTAGATGAAGAAGGAAAAGATCCACTCACAATTGCTGTAGAGGCTGCAAATGCAGATATCGTTACATTGTACGTATCATCGTATTTTTCTCTTGTTGTGTTGCTTTTTATTGCAGACTTCAGGGTTTCTGTTCTGAAAGAATCAGACTGTTAGAGCTGTGAAAATGGAAATATAATTACAAACATAACTATTAAAAGATCCACGACTGTTTGTGGGACACTTGCCCACAAAATATACAGTCAATTCACTTTACGGTATATTCTGGGAAGCGCTTTGAGACGTCTCGAAGATGTGATAAGACGCTATATCAAATGCAAGGATTATTATTATTAGAATGATTATTTAATCAATTGGCAGTTTGCTTTCCGGGGTAATAATCCCTATTATTATTATAATAACTAATTTAGTCAAACTTGAAATCTCTTAATTTGGCTGCAGCCCTTTTTAGACTGCAATAAAAATGATTGGAACGTTTTGTTCGCTCAGACTTGATTGACACTCCCAGAAAGAGAGGAACATCATTCCGATGTGAAGGGTGCTGTACAAGTGTAATTTGTTGTTGTTGTTAATGTTGCTGAATGTTCACCTTCTGTTTTGGCAGGTTACGCCTGGCAAAGATGAATGACGAGATGCGAGAATGTGAAGGACTTGGACAGTCAGGTCAATATTCCAGTAACAGTCACACAGAGATGCAGTATAAAAAGTGCATGCAGGAATTTATCAGTTTACAGCTGGAGGATTCTTAAAGCTAATCTTAAAAACAAAATTAAAATATAAACAAGTACAGTATGTGGGACACGAGCCTTGGCCTTATTGTTTGGTGGATTTTGCCATATTTAACTCCATGTATTTAATAAACAAAGGTGATGTTGGTAAGGTATTGAAGCACTAAATCATACGCAAGATCTTTTTGTCAATTACAGTACTGAACAGCAGATACCAAAGTAACTGGCAAATCTTAGGAATGCAGCCCAAACATTTAGAATGTGTTGCAGGGATAGGAACAAGATCTGCGTGTCTTGTTAGACATTCCAGAATACTTTACAGTTTAGTCTCTCCTACAGCACAGTCTCGACCTAATTGGCAATACAAAAGTTGTCATTTCTTTGGAGAGAGAAACTAATCTTAAACAGTATTTCAAACTAAGTCAGACTATAAAGGGATCTATTCACAGATGGGTGAATTTCTAATGGTTTTAACCTCCTCGACCCTCCCCCCCCCCCCACCACCACCAGTTATGTAAACTCTGTTCATCTGCTGCTACCTTTAGATTTATATGAGAGCCATAAATTTTGTATTCCTGTACCATTAGTGATGCTTGCTTATCGTACCAATTACTGGAAACTGCAGTGCTGGAGCGTGGGGAAATGTGTACTTTAATTTTCCCATGGGCAATTGCTCTGCAAGGTGGCCTGATACGGGGTCCCTATCGCTCCATGTGAGAATCCATAGTGTCCAAGAGTCCAGTGTACAAGTGCATCAAGACGTTAGATTCCATCAACTTGAGTTGCCTACAAAAACAGTCCCTACACTTGACAGTAATTACTGCAGACTGCTTTGAGATGTTTTGCGCTGTTAAATACAAGTTCTTTCTATTTCATTTCTCCCCCTTTCCCGAAAGTTCTCCCCTTCCTCTCTGATTCTGCTATAGTATGGGTGCCTCAAATCTTCTAGTTCTTTGACAATGAACCATGAGAAGCATTGCATCCAAGCCTTAACTGATTTCAGTTCACTTGATGGCCCCCAGCACTTTTCAGCAGGAGTCATAGGATAGAAAGAGTTCTAGTTATATTTTATCCCCTCGTTCCTTTCTACTGCACATTGGGTTCCTAGCCAGGACCACTTTCCGACACCTCTGTCTCATTGCCCTTCTCCGGCCGTACCTCACACCCAATGCAGCGAGATCCTTTCAACACCTCCCGCCTCGATTACTCTAGTGCCCTCCTTGCTGGTCTCCCCAGTTCCACTATCCCAAAATTCAATCCAGAACTCCACCGCCTGCACACTCACCCACTCTAGACCCCATAGACACCAGTCCTCGCCAGGCTCCACTGGCCCCCTAAAACAGAATGGATCGACTCCAAGATCCTTGCACTCGTCTACAAATCCCTTGACGCCATGGCACCTGCCTACCTCTCCAACCTGCTCCAATCCTAGGCTGCTGTGCTTGCACACCTAGTTCAGCAACTTGGGACGCTGAAACATTTATCGTACCTTTACCGACTGAGTCATCGGATATCGACAACATAAAATACCTATCATAAAGTCCTGGAGAAACAAACCTTTATAATCCCTTGTAGGCATGTCACTTTGAAAAGTTCTGAATATCCCCAAACTGCCTTTTCAGTATTTTTTTCTGAGGTTTTACATTTGGTACAAGATAGTTTTTGTGAGTATTATAACGATTACAGTATTAAATGATCAGTTGGCTAATTTTTAAAAGGAATTCAGGAGATTTTCTGAAAATGAATTTGATATTTTTTCGTGAATAATTTAACGGTTAGTGCTGAAAAACCTTGTATTCTGGGGAAATTGAGTTTAGTTTTATGCAATAATGGGCAAATTAATATTTTAATGATTTGTGGTGGTTACAGATGAAACTCATCAAAAACCTGCAAAAAAAAATTGTTTTTAATGTTTTACTTTGAAAAATGAATCAAAAAGAAGTTGTAGGATGGAGGGAAAAAAGGAATTAATAGTAGACAGAATTATATTAGTAATTTATTAGACAGCATTGTATGTTTACTTAAGCCATTCTGTAACTAACAGTAACAGTTCTTCAGCAAATAGAATGCATCTTATCAATAAATGTTTAAAAGAAATCTTATAAAATATGCTCAGTCAGTTGTTTAGTCTTATTAGAGAAGGAGAGTGCAAGATGAATAATTATGCACTTGCAAAAGCCATAATCAATAATGTTGTTGTGCAGTTTTTTCTGCTTAGGTTTTAGTTGATCAGTGAAGAAATCCAGATTGGTGCTAACAGTCAATTCACTTTACAGTTTATTCTGTGAAGCGCTTTGAGACGTCTCGAAGACGTGATAAGGCGCTGTATCGAACGCAAGGATCATTATTATAACAGATGGATCCGAGCGATTAACCCTTGTGTGTATATTCTGTTACTGCTTTTCTTCCTGTCTGTACTGTACGTGTCTCTTCTGAATGTATGGTGTGTGCCTTTTTGTGTTACTTAATCTGGGATGGCAACATTACTGTATTTTTGTATGTACTTTCTGCACTTTAAATACAATACTGCTGTAAAAACAACAATTTCGGTCACTGGCCTACAATTTACAACTTTTTTTAAAGAAGCGTATGAACCTGCAAATACACTGCAGCAAAGTGTTTAGTTAAATGTTGGTAATTTTTAAAATATAAAACAAGGTAATTTTATTGACCGTCATTGCCTTCGAGGTAGCTTATCCTGCCAGCTTTAGATATCATCTCCCGAGATTATACAAACTTCCCTTAAATTCTTACACTTGAGAACTAGTTGTTTCAGCAAATCGTCGGTGCAAGAGCTGTATCTCAGCACCAATCTGGCTGTGCCATCACGCTACCCACACACCCACCCACACTTGTTCTAAGTTACATTAAATATTTTAATTCACCCATAGGAAGATTGTGCAGACCGCTTTGGAGATGGAGCTGAGTAAATTGACCTATGCAAAATATATTTAAAAGCCACTTTACAGTGAAGCAACCTTTTTGGCTTGTGATAATTTATAGAACTGCCTTCGTCAAATAAAAATGCTCCTGAAATGCTTCCCAACTCCTTGATGTAAACGCATCAAGAAATATCAGCACAGAATCCTAGTTGAAGCTAGTTAGTGAGAGTTTTGATTTTGATACATACTGTCAGAGCGAGAATACAGTACTGGATTTATCTGCCAGTGTCACATTTAGTTTGTTCAATGGGAAAAACTATGGTGATTCTGGTGAGTTATTTGGGGGGCGTCTTTTAAAAATGGAACAAAGTAATTTCATAATCAGAAACGACCAGATTTCAGCTCATTTAATGCGTTAAATTGTAGGTGATGCTGAGGTTTGCTCGTGTTATATATAGATACCGTTGACGTTGTGTTTTGAAGCATCAGTACAGGGCACTGTGGATTGGGCGGGGATGGGGGAGGGAGGGACGGAGGGGGCAAAAAGAGAAATTACAGCTTTGACGAGTTCTCTGATAATGGGAGGAGATGAAAGTAGTGTATCAGATTGTGAGGGGAATAAAATCAGAAGGGGGGTGTGTGGAGGAGATTGCTGCATGGATGGATATCTTGTGAATCCATATGTGGGTGATTAATCAGATGGTGTACAGCTGTTCGGAGGCTAGAAACACAGGGACCTTAAATGTGGAACATAAGGGACAAATTTGCGATGTCTCCAACCAAAGTTCTTAATTAAAAAGCAAACCGTTTAGAATTTCCATCGACCCGCAGTAGCTCTGCTCCGTAACTAGACTGTGTCAGAGGGATATTCCACTAGTTCTTGTGATGTACTACCATTTCGCCCACAAAATATACAGTCAATTCACTTTACAGTATATTCTGTGAAGCACTTTGAGACGTCTCGAAGAAGTGATAAGGTGCTACATCAAATTCAAGTATTATTATTACTCGGTTGCAATTTGCATGATCTGGATCCCATATTTAAGGAATCTCTTTGAGAAATACCATCAGTTATACCCCATTAATAGGGAAAGACTTGTAAAGCATGTCAGCAGATAAAGAATTGGCTTGTTTTCACTTGTGCTTGATTCTTCCACTTCTCCTTTCTGACTTGCTGCCTGAGATTCCTTCAGGTACAGTAATATTAACTTTGTGTCATTCGCCATTCTATTTTCATTCTGTTATGCTCTGTTTTACCAGATGTTTTTATCTTCCTTGTCTAAGTCAATCTGTCTTTAAACCTCACTGGCTGTACAAACAGAATGCTATTTGTAACAAGTTATGAACACAGATTTATTATCTGATGTTGTAGCTGAAGTAACTCGGGTTATTTTTATTGCAGGTGATGAGACGTACCAGGATATTTTCCGTGACTTCTCCCACATGGCCTCCAATAACCCCGAAATATTGAACCGTTTCCAACGCAGAACTGAGGCCGATTAAAGCCTTCCCTGCCGTTTCTCACTCAAGAGCTTCAATCATTCATTCTTTCAGTGATGTGTATAATTGCCTCTTTCCCCCACCACTTCTCTTCTCCCCATCCACCCCTCTCTTCATCCCCCAGAATGTATTGATTATCCCTGTTTAAAACCTAAATAAAAGCTGAAAGTCTTGATGTTTTATGGGAAACCATCGTAAATGAAGGAACCTTTGGATAACCTATCACCGTCAGCACAACCACTTGCAAGTTCTGCTAGGAAGTGTAATTGAAGTGCAAATGCCTTACTTTGGCACTTTCTATAGTGTGTCGTGCTTGGGTTGTGGCTTTTTTTATGAGGCGATTTACCTCTGGGAGATGTGCAGATACGAACCAGCGTTCAAATGGAACAGCACGTTTTTAAAACCACTTGCATATAGTTTGCTTTTTACGCTCACTTAAAACTGGCAAGACTTGGCAGTGGTTTTACCTGATAGACTGGAAGGGGAGAGATGTTGGTAATATGCTATTGGGAGCAATAGAATTTAGAACTGTGCCCATTCCAAGCTTGTGTTTACATGTAATGGACAGAAAAAAAAATATTTTCTTACCTCTCGAATGAGAGTTGATTCCTGTTTCAGGAAATAGTTAATCACATTTCTTTAAAAAGAAAAAAAATTATACTTGCTTTTTAATGGAAAAAAAATTGGTTTTAAGTTTTTTTAAAAAAAAATTTTAAAAATAGTTTTGTCTTGTATCCAAAATTTTGGCTAGGAACGTATAGTGAATAATTTGACAAACCATGTAGAAAATCTAATATCTTATCCTTTCATTTATATCTGACCATAAAGTTCAGAGCACCAAATAATAATAAAAAAAACTTAAGATAGGAATCGCAATTTCAGGACGCTCAGTTTAAAAGAAAGTTTTATTAGACAAAGTATACCATTGCATGCTTATTACCCTGTTGAATGACTTATTTAATTTACATAATAAATGACCATATTGGCAAATGTACTGCTTGCTTCTATTTTTGAAGGAAAGTAAATCGATAGAATCTGTATAGTACAATCTATGAAATGTAGATTAAAGTGACCTGCCTCACTGCCGTACTTTCATGTTGTAGGGAAATGATTCCCTCAATGTATTAAGCACTCTGGGACTCTATCCTGGGTGAGAAGTGCTATATAAATGCCAGTTGATGTATGGAAATGTAGATGAATTATTATTATTTGATTCTGTTTAGCAAAGTATAAACAACATGGATGGCATCAGCTTCATAAAAAGATGTATTTGCAGACTCTGCTCGTGCAATGTATTCCACTTTTATGCTTTAAAAAAAGTAGTGAAAACCAGCTTTATAAAACTTAAATTAAAGATTAAGATGTTTCCCTGGAGAACCATAATACTAATTCTTGCAAGTTACACAAAACAAAAAAATCTACATTGTACAATGTATAGTTTTTATTACTTTAAAACCTTGTATGGTCAGTAAAGCTCTGGGTTGCGTTTTGATGAGAGCAATTCTTTTTTGTTCATTTCTCCAACTGTAAAGAATTCATACACTGTTCAGACCCAAGAATAAAAATGATTTGACAACAATTGACGGGCGTCGAAACTGGACTGAAGCAGTTGAGCATTGTAAGACGCACAATTACTTGCATGTGGAGTCCTGTAGCGTCGTGGGTAGAGAACTAGCGTTGCAAACGAGAGGACCTGGGTTTGATTCCCGGGCAGGTTGAAACCTGAGGCAAGTTTCCTTATCTACACCACTCTGTTTACCTGGCGGTAAGTAGGAATCCGGTTATTACAATGAGACGTCTCAAGGCACTTGCTTCACAGAATATAGCTTGGTTTGGATGGTCTTGAGCACGGTGATGGGTTTCCGCGCGTGTCAGACCAAACCACCCCCCCCCCCCAAATATATTGTAAGTGGATTGACTATGTATTTTGTAGGCAAGTTCATTGTATCTGGAGCAGGAGCGGAGTCGGGATGGAGAGAGAAGAAGCTCTTCCCATCATGTTGAATTTTCTTCAAATGTAAGTTTCTGGTTATGACTACAGTTTTACAATGAGAATGTGGAGGGGAGGAAGGAAAGGAGAGATTTTTGGGGGTGTCAGCCACTTGTCTGACATACAGAAACCCACCAACATGGTTAAGCGTCTCTAAACTAAGCTGAAATTTCCATACTTCCCACCTGCACATGGAAATCCCAGAAATCGATTGTTTAATGGAATTGGCCCTCTCTCCCCGGGAAGGTTTCCTGCTCATCTAATTCCAGCAAGTATTAGGCGCAGGTTGGCAGGAACCAAAGTTCGGGGGACGCCCAGTGTACGTTGAGGTAACTGCTAGAGTCTAACCAGCTAAAACCGCACAGCTCGCCATTGATATTGCAAGCTTTTTTGTTGCTTGTCCAGCGAGGACCACCCTCCCTGTGAGGGCTTTGGCTGCAGGGTTAACAGGAGCTGAGCCCCTCGTGACTGGTCGGCCCTTCCAGGTCCTGCTGATGAGCCGGGCCGGGCTGTGCTGTCCTCAGCAGTGAGTGCCCTGGAATACTGCGGCCCCTCTTGGTTTGGGAACCGGACTAGAGACCATCCCAGAGGACTGGCTCGATTCCGACATTCCATTGCCAGGCAGGTCACATTGGGACCAGTTTGGCTCCGAGGAGACCCCACTTAATCACCCCACCCCCTCACCCCTCCCCCACTCCCTCCCTCCCAAAGTAGGATAGAAAGATTGTGTATGAGGCAGAGCTGGGATTCGTTTAGATGGGGACGGAGAGTTCACCCCTCGGGGCTGTGTGATTGCTTCCAGTGTGCGTCTGTGGTCAGTGGTCAAAGTCACTAATGACATTCTGAACATCTGTGATCAGAGCTCTCTCTGCCTCCTTGTCCTCCTCGACCTCTCTGCTGCCTTCGACACTGTGGACCACTCCATCCTCGTACACCCCCTCTCCTCTTTACTTAATTTTTGGGACCTGCCCTTGCCTGGATCGAATCCTACCTCTCTCACCATTTCCATTTTGTTGCCTCTTAACGGTTTCTCCTCCAGCCCCCGCACTGTCACGTCTGGTGTCCCCCAGGGCTCTGTCCTTGACTCTCTCCTCTTTAATATTTACATGCTCCCCCTTGGTGACATCATCGCAGACATGGGATCAATGTCCATATGTATACGGATGACACCCAACTCTATCTTTCTGTCCCCACCCTCAACTCCAGAACCACTGTTGTCCTCTGCACCTCAGGCTCTGGCAGCATCAACCTCCGTGGTTGCACATCTCAACTCACCGCTAGTCAGGAACCTTGGTGTCTTGTTCGACCCTCAAATGTCTTTTCTTCTCCACATTCAAGCCATGACCCGCTCTGCCTTCCCTCACCTCCATAACATCGCCCGACTCCGCCACTACCTCACCCCTCAGGCCACTGAAACTCTTGTTCATGCCTTCATCACCTCCAGGCTCAACTATGCAAACTTGTCGACCTTCCCAACTCCTCTCTCCACAAACTGCAGATAATCCACAACTCTGCAGCCCGTGTCCTCTCCCGCACCAAACTCCGTGACCCCATCTCCCCCACTCTCGCCCGACTCCATTGGTTCCTTATCCTTCAGAGGATCCAGTTCATAGATCCTGGTCCTCACCTACAAAGCCCTCCATGGCCTCGCCCCACCCTACCTCTGCGACCTCCTAACCCCCTACCAACCCGCCCGCTCCCTCCGCTCAGCCCGGCTCTGACCTGCTCCACGTCCCCAGACCCACCCACCCCACCCCATCATTTGCGGGAGAGCCTTCAGCCACTCTGCCCCCAACCTCTGGAATTCCATCCCCCAGTCACTCCGCCTCTCCCCCTCCTTAGCCTCCCCTTCACGTCCCGCCTCAAAACCCTCCTCCTCGACCATACCACCGGTCACCCCACTTCCCTTCCCATCTCTTCTCCCCCCCAACCCCAGCTCGGGTCTGAAATGCTACACTGTCCAACGCCTTGGGACGTCCTCCCGACGTGAAACGCACTATACAAATGTAATCTTGTGTGTGTGTCAGTGTGTGTGTGTGTGGGGGGGTGTCTGTGAGTGTGTCAGTTTGTGTGGGTGTGTGAATGTGTGTCAGTGTGAGTGTGGGTGGGTGTGTGTGTGTGTGGGGGGGGTGGTGTATGTGTGTCAGTGTGAGTGTGTGGGGGGGGTTGAGTGTGTGTGTGTGGGGGGAGTATGTGTGTCAGTGTGGGGGGGGTGTATGCCCCACCATAAGAGGCTCTCCCTTCCTCTCCGCGCGGGTGCTGTGATCTCGGGGCGGGGGGGGTGTTGTGGTGGTGTGTGTAGGGGGGGGTTAGTGTGTGAGTTTGTGTGTGGGGCTGTGTTGGTGTGTGTGTGTGGGGCTGTGTTGGTGTGTGTGTGGGGGGGGGGTTGTGTGTGTAGGTGTGTGTGGGGCTGTGTTGGTGTGTGTGGGGGGGGGTTGTGTGTGGGGCAGTGTTGGTGTGTGTGTGTGGGGCTGTGTTGGTGTGTGTGGGGGGGGGGGTTGTGTGTGTGGGGCTGTGTTGGTGTGTGTGTGGGGGGGGCTGTGTGTGGGGCTGTGTTGGTGTGTGTGTGGGGGGTGGGGCTGTGTTGGTGTGTGTGTGTGGGGGGGGGTTGTGTGTATTGGTGTGTGTGTGGGGCTGTGTTGGTGTGTGGGGCTGTGTTGGTGTGTGTGTGTGTGGGGGGCTGTGTTGGTGTGTGTATGTGTGTTGGTGTGTGTGTGTGGGGGGCTGTGTTGGTGTGTGTGGGGGGGGGGGGCTGTGTTGGTGTGTGTGGGGCTGTGTTGGTGTGTGTGGCGCTGTGTTGGTGAGAGTGTGTGTGGGGGGCTGTGTTGGTGTGTGTGTGTGTTGGTGTGTGTGTGTGTTGGTGTGTGTGTGTGTGTGTGTGG